TGTACCAATACGGCTTGAGGTTTACAGGGTTTTAAAGTCGATCCCCCTTAAGCGTTCCGAGAACACAGGATGCGCGTCTTGCCACTCTCACGCCACGAATACAGGAGCCAAATGAATTCCCAATGCTCTCCCCAGAAAAGTTCCATCGTTACCTTGCGAAACCCACCCCACCTGCCCGTTCGAATTCTAGTCCTCCTGCACCGCCCAGCGGGCTTGCCCGTTTGTGCACCCCTCCCCTCCCCCTTCCCCTCCCCCTCACCCTCCCCCTCCCCTCCCCCTCCCGCCCCCCCCCCCCCCCCCCCCCCAAAAAAAAAAAAAAAACGGGGTCCCTAAACTCTATGGGGCCTCTGGGCTCTTGAGTTCAGGGAAGCCCTTGTGCATCCAAAGAGGCCGCATCTCTTCGGCGAAGGCTTCGTTCTGCGCGTGCGAAGCATGAAGTGACGGATGGTTTAGGGTTTAGGGTTTAGGGTTTGGGGGTCTGACGGTTTTAGGGAGTTTAGGCACAAGGGTTTAGGGTTTAGGGCTTAAGGTTTGGGGTTGTGCGGCCTGGGGACTGCTAGAGATTCTAGAGGGGCTCCAAACTCAAAGGATGCAGACGAATGATGAGGTCCGCTCCAAGAAGAATTTGACTGACTGGTCTTTGGTAGGGAATGAGGGAATGAGGTACCCTATGTGATCCCTTAAAGGGCATATGGTCAGTTCTCTTCATTATGGTCCCTTTTTGTGTACCCTAAATATGAGGGGGGGCCTTATCATAGTGCCGTAAAAAGGGACCATAATGTAGAGAAATGACCATATATAGGGCCCGAATTCCTTCATTCCCTACTAAGAACCAGGGCGTTGAGTCTCCAAGGGCAATACGGATGGAGCCCCTCCCGGCTTCGGCACTCTGGGTTTCTTGCCACCCAACTAGCTGAACTGAACGTCCACATTGCAGGGTTATGGCTTGTAGTGGCCTAGGGTTTAGGTTTATAGGGCTTAGAGGGACTCTGAAGCTTAGCACAGCAACTATCAGCAACTTCTGCAACTGGCCCATAGCTCGCCCAAATATCCGAAGACTTCTGCCGTTGGTATCGGCTCATGCGTTTTGGGCTGTTACGCTCTGACCCATCCATGCCCCCCCCCCCCGCCTCACCTCACACCCCCGCGCACCGTGGGAAACTCTCCAATGTCCCCTGAAAAACATACCCTAAACCCTAAACCCATTCTGAGAACCCCCCCCCCCCCCTTTAACTACGCTAAGCCCTAAACCCAAAAGCCATTCTGAGAAACCCCCCCTGTCACAATGTGGTGCGGCTCGCCTCCTCCTTCTTCTTGCGCAGCTTCTGGTCGTCCTCCGGGGGGCCCCGGATTGTCCCTGAGAACCTCAACCTCAGCCTTGGCCTCCCTGTGTTCTCTTCGGTTTAGGGTTTATAGGATTTAGGGTTTATAGGGTTTCGGGTTTAGGGTTTCGGGTTCAGGGTTCAGAGTTGCGGGTTCTTCTAGGATTTAAGGGCCCGAAAGTACAGAAAATTGGGGCCCGCAGAGATTCACAACAAGGTATTCCAGATCAGCCCCCATGTTGATCCATTAAACTCTTCTACATCCTCTCTGGGTGTCCTTGGAAGCCCCCCCCGCCGCCCCCCCCCACACCCCGCACCGCATCGGCAAACTTGAGTGAAAAGGCTCTTGGAATTTCTGTTCGGATTCCTCAACCCTAACACCCTAAAACCCTAAACCTTAACCTCCTTAAACCCTACACGCGCTAGCGCGGGCCTCGGATGGAAGAAGCGTGGCGCCCGTCAAAGCATCCTGAGCCAAAGCGGGGTGTTCACGATGTTAGGGATATCTTCTTGGGGCCTTAATCATGTTAAGGGTCTATAGGGTTTAGGGTTTAGAGTTTAGGGTTTAGGGTTTGAACAGGGTTCTGGGGTTATTATGGCATATTTATCTAGGGAAGACCCCTCGATTACCTTCTTGGGGCTCTTATTATAAGGGGATCCCACTCTTTGGGGCTCTATGTTAGGGCCTTAACGCAAACCCCCAAGTGTTTCTGTCATCGCCCGGGCCATGTCGACAGTGGGTGCGCGCAGCTCGTGTTACGATGGTCTCCTTTACCCTAAACTAACCCTAAACCCTAAACCTTTTTTTGGGCACGGACTGAGGAAGCTGCCGGCAACCTGAAACCCGTAACCCTAAACCCTAAACCCGCCGAAGAGCGGCAAACGCCCCACAAAGGGGCCTTTCGTTGGGCATAACCCTAAACCCTAAACCCTAAACCCTAAACCCTAAACCCTAATATATCTCTGCGAGACGGATGAGAACGCAGGAGACGCAGGAGCATCTTGAAAACCTCCTGTTGGGTGATGAAGCTCAAGCGTTTTTGGCACTTTCCTCTGTTAGATTCCTAATCATGAGGATAGTAATCATAGCAATAGCGACTATAAAGGTTGCTCATGCCAATACGAATCACGCACAAAAACATCCTCATAGCACCAACTAGTACCACTAACCACCGCTCACAATAAGAACTGTACCGGCGTAGACCCCAAATAGTGAGAGATTCCATGGGGTCCCGAAGAGCATGTCAAGCTCTCCAGGCACGAGAAACACGATGCCGGGGAGCTTCGAAGAACGACTTTGACGCCACTGGAGCTCCAGACGTCCTCTGCCGTACCCTTGTGCTGCTAGTACCAAAGTCGGCTTTCGAGCCTCCAGCCACCAGGGCTCCGGATGTCCTCCAAGACCCCAAAAAACCACGACACTTTCGCATGTCGTGAACCCAGATGTCAAGAGTCAACGACACTTAACTACTAGGGTAGCGACGTCGATGCGCAGGGCGCCTAGGGCGATTCCCAACATCGCGACTTGCAAATCGCCTTCGTCTGGCCGCACGCAGCAGACCCATGCAACGGCCCAAAACCACGTTTTCAACGAGCGATGCAAGCCTGAAAAATTCTGCGGGACATAGGCCGAAAGCACGATTTCCACATGCACGAAGCCAAAAGCATGTAATTTCAGATATTTCAAGGAGACAGCCGGGCCGAAGCCCGCGCTGTAAAAACAAGAAACTACTTTCGCCCAGATTGCAACCACCACCGCTCAAGGAATGGGGCGCCGTATGGCGCCGTGGGCGCCCCTGGGTTGGCACACTGTTTGGGCTGTTTGGGGTATGACGACTATCTAAAACCTAAAAGCCGACTCTGCTGCTGGGACTCTCCGACATCTTCCGCGCCGCCCGGCACCTGCCATGACTGCGCTTCGTTGCTCCACTTTAGTGCTACCGTTCGAGGACTGTGTCTGCATTCGGCGCGACAGCATACAGTGAAAACTGCTTCTGCTGCAGCCCTTCAACAGAAACTGCCCAGAGTGTCTCGTAGCGACCCACTGTGAAGAGGACTCTAAAGTTCTTGACAACTTCAATTACCTGATATATATATATATATGTATATATACCTGCTACGGCCCTGCTACGCATCGTGCTTGACTAGTACGCACTGAGGTCTAACGCAGGGAGCGTGTGACTACAAAAGCCTGCCATGAGAAAACAACGCAAAGGCAAAGATCTGGACGGCCCAACTATCCCACAGCACTTTGCCCTGCCCGCACGCCTTTGATGCGTAGGCGGCCATTTCCTTGCCCTCAGTTGATGTCGGAGTTTCGGGTCTGAGTTCTCAGGGTTGAAGCTGTAGTTTTGGGGGGAGATGTTTTTCGTAGGCCAGAGAGCAGCATGATGGAGAAAAAATCGAAGTCCCCGGCAATTCTGGTACGGCTACACCTTTGCACAGGCTTGTGGAACCCCACGCCCTGACACACACCCTGAAACCCTAAATCACTATTCCACATCCGAAGCCATAGGTTGAACCCTGAAACCCTAAAACCCTAAATCGCAATTCCGGATCCTCAGCCACAGGTTGAACCCACCCTGAGGTGGCCACCAGCCGGTCGTTCTTGTCATTCCTTAGGTACCGAACAACCAAAGTAACTCAGTAGGAGCCTTGTTGTGCTCGTATGGCCAAAAGGGTTTAGGGCTTAGGGTTTTCCATGGTTTACCCTTCATACACTCGCAATAAGCATCAAGGAGCCCTAAAACTTCCTGGCGCCGTACCTCACCTTGGGGGGGGGGGTTGGGGGGGGCCTTCAAAGCGCATCGTACGATGTCCAAGAGCAGGGGTGGCTACATGTATATCAGCTAACTTCAGCTAACTGCAGGCGGATTAGAAAGAAGGCAAAAGTGTCCAAGGAAGGACAGCACCGCGTCTAAGAAATACAGGGGCTTCGAAGCCGTGCCTCGAAAACCAGCCGTGTCCACCTCCTACCATTCCCTAAGCCCTAAGCCCTAAGCCCTAAACCCTAAGCCCTAAGCCCTAAGCCCTAAGCCCTAAACCCTAAACCCTGAACCCTGAACCCTGAACCCTAAACCCATCCTAAGCCCTAAACCCTTGAGGGGCAGACCCAAGCCCTGGCTGCTGAGGCCCGCACAGCAAGTCTGTCACAAGCGCAGGGAGTGGAAACGCACCGACGCATGAGGGGGGGTTCCCGAAGTTAGGGGCAGTTCAGGGTTTAGGGTTCAGAGTTTAGGGTAGTAGGGGGTACCTTCTTGGGGTCCTTTTCATAAGGTAATCCTACTATTTGGCGGCGGTCTATATTACTCGGCGCTAGATTAGGGTCCCGTATTTTCTTAAACCCCAACATGCTCGAAGGCACCGTAGCAATCTGTTTCGGGCGTTGCGGGGGTGGTTTAGGGTTTAGGGCTTTTGCTTTCCCTCCTGCACAGCAGGGGCGAGGGTTTAGGGTTTAGGGTTTGGGGTTTATATAGGGTTTAGCTAACTTTAATTAGGGTTTAGGGTTTAGGGATGTTTAGTGCATTGGGTATTAGGGCGTCAAGAGATGTCAGGAGAACCTCAGCCGCCAAGGAGCGGGACGAGCGTCGAAGTGCCCTGCAGCGAAATTTCCAAGGCCTCTGGGCACGGATCGCTGTGAGGTGTTCAGGGCGTCGAGTGCAGCTGAATATGTAAACGTGTAGTAGAGAGAGAGAGAGAGAGATAACATGCACAACATTTTTCTGTGCATATATATATATCTATCTATCTATCTATCTATCTATCAATCATGTAGAACATGCACAAAAAAGCAAAACGTAGAAGGCAATCAGACAATATGTGGGAACATGTATGGATACATTATTATAGAGGGTGCAGCAGAGCGTCTCAGCGCCCATGCTGTTACACGTTCACACTCGCACAGGCCAGACGAGGCATAGTGCCACGTCAGCATGCTACTTCAGTTACAGCTCCAGCTGAGCAACTCGTTCACTAGCCTTGGGGGCATTTGTTTTTGCTGGCCCCAGCTGCTGATCTGGACATACGCTGTGTGGTGCACAGGCATGTCACGTGGCCACCCAAGCTACTTGCCCTGCACCACTGAAAATCTGCAGAGGCTCTTGCAGCTATCTGCCCCAAGGTGACACAGAGAGGAACCATATGTCAATGCCATCAATGACTATGACTATAACGTACTAAGAGTTGCGAAAAGTGGCATCTCACTTCTAAACACACTCGGGCCTCCTCTCTTCTGAATCATGTTTCGCTGAAAGTTCACTCCTGCTCCCGCCGTTGGATCCATCGATGAGTCTCTGGATACAAGGCGGCCAAGCTCACCTCGCGGTGCTCGGCGGAGTACGCGGCCAGGTTCAGGGGTGCATTGGCCTGGGCGGCCTCGGAAGACTCGCTTGCGAGCCAAGGGCTTCGGCACATCGGGCAGCTGTTCTGCTTGCTTGCAGCCGCCCAGCGCTGGCGACAGTCGGTGTGCAAGTTGTGGCCGCAGGTGCGGCAAAAGTCAGCGGCCTCTTCCGTCTCGATCTGCTCGAAGCAGATGGGGCAGTCAGCTGGGAGAGGCTGCCTCACCACAGCATCCTGCGAGCCCTGCGCCTCCCGATAGCCTCGCATGACTGTAGCATCCGCCTGCACGCCGGCTGCACGGAACTCCTCACCCCGTAGCTTCTGAATGATCGGCGCCAGCTCTGAAGGCGTGAGCCCCGTCTGCCAAACTCGGTGGTCATCCCTCTCAAGCTTAAGGACCCGAAGGGTGACGAAAAGGAGGTGCTTGCAAACACCTCCGCCCTTTGCAAAGTCCAGGCAGGTGCAGGAGTTCCCTTCGGGAAGCAGCTCAACGTGATACACGTTCCCCGTGCTTCCAAGAACATCAAGCTTCTCGCCAGAGCCCCCAGAGCCCGACCGGGCCCGGGCCAGGAAGTAGAGCCGATGCCCAAAAGCCCGGTCGATGCGCTCCTGCACACGCGCGCTGGGCTTGGCAACGAATCGCGCCGGCCGCTTCTCCGTCGGCAGCTTGGGATCGGCATTGGATGTGGAGGTAGCGCCTTTGGCGCCGGTCTCAACCTTGCGCCGCTTCGCGGCGCTGGCCGGGGCTCGTTTTCGGGGCGCGGGCTTGGGCTTCTCCTTGGGTCTTACACCCAAGTGCTTCAGCACGGGAGCCTCGAGCTCTTTGCCACCCTTGCCCTTGCCCTTGCCCTTCCCTCCTTTGCCCTTCGATGCCTTCGTTCCCTTCGCTTTGGCCACTTTGCACATTTTGCCCTTCGTGGTTTCGGTCTCCTTGGGTTTCCCATGCTCGAAAAATCGAAGCAGCCGTCTCTGCTGCTCCACGTCCACGCATCGCAGGTCATCCGCGTCTGACTCGGGTGCCACATCTCCCATCACCTCCTCCTTCACCTCCTCTTGCGAGTCCGAGAGGTCCACAACCAGATCGCCCCAAGCACCCTCGGAACCCATCGCCGGCCACTCCTTAGGCTCTAGAGGTGAGCTACCTTCCGTCTGCACTCGGGGTGGAGATGTGGAGGAGGAGCTGCCTGGTGCTGTGGTGGAATCTTCGGAGTCCAGGTCCACAGGAATCCCGGGAGTGCGCTTGCCTGAAAGCGCAATCCCCCAGACAGGCCTGGCTGCCTTGCTTCCCTCGTCCTCATGTTTCTCTTCGGGGTCGTCCGCAGGCTGCGAATCTCCCGCACTCCTGGACAGTGACAAGGCATCCACGAAGGAATTGCTTCGCGTGGCTGTATCTTCTGTGCCTGTTGCCATGGAAGATGAGCTTCCGCTGCTTCCGAAGAGGTAGTGGTCCATGCGTTCAGGATCACCTTTGAGGTCCAAGACATCAAGGAAAGGAGCCATCATCCGCTCCTTGCTTTCGCGGGTCTCAGAATTCACAGTGGGGATCAGGCGCCCGGGCTTGATGCTCTTGACAAAGGACTGCAGCTCGGAGAAAGACGAGTGCTCGCTGTAGGGCACGCTGTACACCCTCGTCCGCCCTTCATTCTCAATCCAGGCGCGGCACCCGGCGCTCCCCTTCGCCATCGCTTTGGGGGACCATGCCCAACCGGTTGGGCTGAATGCCACGACGGACTCGAAGTGCCCCTTTGTGGAATCCAGGTAGTGCTTCAAGACATCATGAGCCAAGCCCCCGAGAGCAGACATCCAAACACAGCAGCCTTCCTTGTCGATGCTCCACAGCGGCCGGCCATTTGTCAAGGACACCTCGCCCCAACCCGCAAGCTGGATCACCTTCCAACGCCGCTGCTCCACGAAGACAGAGGATGAGGCAGCCTCGGCGACGGCTTGGGCGGCTCGTTCCTTCCCGATCTGATAGCAGCCAACCACGAAGAGGGTCTTCGGCTCGCGCTGGAGTTCGAGAGACGTCAACTCTGAGAGCCAGGTGCAAGCTTGCTGCTGGGCTGGGAAGGTCCAGCGGCGGGCGCAGTATGTGGTGTCTAGAAAAAGCTCTGCGACGGTTCGGCCTGCGAGCCACTCCAAGGTGTCGTTGCGTATCTGCGTGGAGGCACGGCAGTCGCCTGTATGGAGCACTACGTTCCGGGCGGAATCAGCGCTCGAGCTCCCAGAGACCTGGTCCTCCTCAAAAACTGCCATGGCACTGCCGGGGCAATGTCCTGCATCCAAGAAAGTCAGCCACACGCCTTGGACCTGCAGCGTCTGCCGCAGCTTCAGGGCGACGACCCGCGAGGCGTCCACGCCCATCACTTCAGTGATCAAGGCCGCCGTCACATCTGTACAATAAATTGTTCCGCTATCGAACTTCCGAGTCAGCCCCACAGTGTGATCACTGTGAAAGTGGGTCAGCACGTAGTGTTGCACATCCTTGCCTTAGTAGCCCAGTAATCATATTATCATAAGGGCACCCTTTTTGGGTTGGTTATTTTTTAGGGAAACCAGAACCCAAAAAAAAGGCAAAGGGTACCATTGGGCTACCAAGTTGCGCTGAAACAAAAAGCCGTCCACAAGAAACTCTGTCGATCCGACTCGCACCAATTTGGCTTCTTCTGTCTTGGCGGCCATGGCCCGACATGTCAATGCGTGGTCATGAAAGCATTGACCTACCAACGGCCCAAACAAAGTACTGTAATCATGAAGTATGGACACTGATTAATGTCTCTTTCGTCTCCAAATTCCGCCAGCTGCACATGTTTCGCCACATGTGACGACTTGAGCGGTCAAACATTCTGAGGCACGCACCTCTACCCGGTCTCAGCTACGCGGTCTGCTACGGCAGGTGCACGTGAGAAAGAACATGCACGAGCTGACCTTGACAGCTAGACCAGCCAGAACGTGTGATTGCAGAGACTGCGGAAGGATCCCTCAGGAGCCATTAAAGACTAAACCCTAAACCCTAAACCCTAAACCCGAAACCCGAAACCCGAAACCCTAAATCCTAAATCCTAAACCCTAAACCCTAAACCCTAAACCCTAAACCCTAAACCCTAGCCCTAAACCCCAAACCCTAAACCCGAAACCCTAAGCCAACGTGAAATGCACGCCTCCGCTAGGCCGGTAGTCCTGGCCGGGCTGAGTTTTCAGGGCTCAGGGAGAACCACTTAAAACATCAGAACATGATCGGGATTACTGTTTACGGTATCTGTTGCTATGTTTGTTGTTATGATTCTTAGGGGTTACTGTTTGCGATATATGTTGCTATGTTTGTTGTTCTGATTCTTAGTGATTACTGTTTACGATATTTGTTGCTGCGTTTGTTGTTATGATTCTGAGTGCCACAGTGCCATTCTCACTCTGGATACTATGAGCACTGGCTGGCATGACGATATACCCCTGTTTCCCATCCCTCGCTGTCGCCCACTAGGCGACATCGGAGCACTATGTGTTCCTTGTGGGTTCCTCCGACGGTACAGCTGCGTTGTTACCCTTTGAATACTGGGTGCCGGGCGCCTAAACCCTAAACCCTAAACCCTAAACCCTAAACCCTAAACCCTAAACCCTAAACCCTAAACCCTAAACCCTAAACCTTTTCAACCCTAAACCCTAAACCCTAAACCCTAAACCCTAAACCCTAAACCCTAAACCCTAAACCCTACAACAGTTGCGCCCTGGAAGTGCCTTCCAGCTGTCAGCGATGCCAGCGTATCTCCTTCGGAGACCTGGCCCGATGAGCTCATTCACACCGGGCGCACATGTTTCTTCTTCCCCCCCCCCCCCCCCCAAACCTAAACCCTAAACCCTAAACCCTAAACCCTGAACCCTGGGCCCTCAACCCTAAACCCTAAACCCTAAACCCGCGCGTGTGGGCTGCATGTGGGAGTGATATCCACTTGGGGGTTTCTAAAGTTAGGGTTTAGGGTTTAGGGTTTAGGGTGTAGGGTTTAGGGCTGAAGGTTTGGGGTTTGGGTTTTGTTTGCCACCCGCCTAGCCGATGGGTTTAGGGTTTAGGGGTGCCTTATTGGAGGATCCATTATCAGGGAGTCCTACTATGTGGGCATCTGTATTGGGGGGGTCCCCTATCTTCGTAAACTCCCAGATACCCTTTTTGGGGGCAGTCTCTTGGAAGATGCTGGTGACCGAACTCTCTTAAAGAAACTTTCCCAGCGTTCTGCCCAGCTGCCGGCATGGTGTACGACATGTCCTGGGTAGACGCAGCATGTCTCAAACCTTCGAAAAAAACTATTCCACACCTCGAGCTCTTGTGTTACACGACTTCTAACGCCGCCTGGCCTGCTTCGGAAGTTGGGCTAGCTTGCGTGGCCAAGGAATGGCGCACCTACTCCTAGGATGCATCTGAGCACTCTTCTGAATCATGAACCTGGTTGAGGGGGTTCCTGTTGCATTGCGGGGGCCTAACATCTAGGGCGCCCAGACACCCACATGTAGAGAACATGTCTGGAGAGACTCTGGTCACTTAGGACAGCAGGGGCCATCCCCATTTCAAACCCCTAAAACCCTCGCGCACACCCCAACCCTTCCTTCCTCCAACTGCCACCCCAAAAACCCCATAAGCCCGACAAAAACCTATATTTAGGGTTTTGGGGTTGAGGGTTTAGGGTTAAGCTCTTTCTTACACCCCAAGCTCTGCCCAGCGTCGCTCTTTGTCATGTCGTTTCCCCCGTAGGCTTCGGCTTCGAGGATCCCCTGCAGTTGCCAAGGGTTCAGGGTTCAGGGTTCAGGGTTTAGGGCTAGGGTTTAGGGCTAGGGTTTAGGGTTAGGGTTGAGGGTTCAGGGTTCGGGGTTTAATTGCTCATACTCGGAGAAGCCAGGCGAGGCCACTCTCAATCAGTCATTGTGGGGAGCCATATTAGGCCCTCTGTGACGCTCGTCACTTTCTCGGGTTTACGTGCCTTTTTTGGGGCGATCGCTGGAACCTTTAAGATATCGATGGGGTTCGGGGTAGGAACTGTTAAGCATCCAAATAGAGAGCCCATGTCAAAGGACAGCGGGTGATGACTTCAACCAAGTCGTTTTAGGCTTGGAGCAGCTTAGCCTTAGCTTTATTTGTTGGGCCCACTTTCAAAACTGAAGCGCCAGCAAGGAGAACCTAAATCCTTGAAACCTTACTGCTAAGACTATCTTCGTGGGTTTGGGATGGCTTTCGGGGGCTCACCAAGGTGCTTTCAGTTCTCCGATGCAGGCCGATGCATAGAGCTCGCATACATACGTACATAGAGGCTTGGTTGCAGACGGACGTGCGGAGACAGCGAGTGAGCGAGGCATGCATGTATGTATGTATGTATGTATATATATATACATACACACATCTGCGTAGCAGTACAACGACAACTGGGTTTGTACAGACATACTGTTGAGATATTGCGCACACGTTGGTACAAGGTGACCAAAGCCACAAGTCCCTTTTGGCGGCCCCCAGCCTTAAGGGACTTCCCCTCACCGGTGCTTTCATCCTTAGCCGCGGGTGGATGGTGAAGGCTGAATTACGCGCGTGCGGGTGGCGGGAATGTATGCCAGCTGTAGCCAAAGAGCTGCGACCCATTCCCTACATATCTTTGGACGCGCGGACTCCGCACGATGCAATGTGTTTAGGGGTGGGGAGGCAGGTTTTGGCTCTTGATTTCAGCGTGCGATGGTTGGTGGCTATGAAACTGCACAACTATGCAGCCCGAAGCCCTGAGCGACCACTCCGTTCACCATGTGTGCAGCCAGGAAGCTAAAATTCGAAATTCTGTGGAGTGTAAAGTTCCTCTCCGGCAAGCACACCATCAATCACCATTGAGCAAGCTAGCTGTGACCACCTGGTTCTGCGGCTTGCACCTAGAACTACAGCAACTGCTCGCAGCATCTTCGCACTATGGGAACAGATTCAGTGCCAATTCCGCAGATGCGCGAACCAGCAGTGGAACCACTACCCCTGAGACCATCAAGCGCCGTTTACATTGCAGTCTAGTTTTATGACAAAGGAAACAAATCATGTGTCACTCCAGTCGAAAGCCGTCCGGTCCTGAGCGGAACGTCAAATTCTCCTCTTCCTGGTGCAAAATGCAACGACACTCCAGGTTGCAGCCCTCCCTGGTGCTTCCCCCGCTCAAGTGCCTTAAGCCTACAGGGTTTTTGCAGCTCTAATGCCAACAGTACGCAATCTCGGCCAGTTAACAGGTGGGCGGTTGCTGTTTATTTCAGTAATAAGGGCCCGAGCAACCACCACAGAATCTGGGGGCTTCATATTCTGCAGCTTGATGCTTTCGCTGTGATTTTCCTACTGATGCCTCAAAACACCAAGCTCACCAAGCCTGAGTGCTGCTCTCATGGCCGCAGCTTGGAAGTTCAGGCATCACCGCAAGGGTTCACATACTTCGCGTCGGCAGCAAGGCTCAGCTGCTTTTGCAGCACATGAGCATCCATCACTTTAGGAAATCTGCGCAAACCATGCGCTGCAGATGAAGCCATGCTGTACGTCTGCGAAGACTATGGGGGGGGGGCGGGGGGTCATTTGAAGGGTATTCATGAAGGGCGTGGTGTCAGGTTGAAACCCGAACCCTCCAACAAGCCGAAGAGACCGAGTGCCTCGATGATCTTCCCACCGTCCCAGGAGGACGCGAGCGAGTCGATTCCAGAGGAGGCATCTAGTCTGACAAGGGAGAGCCAGGTGAAACAACTCGCAGTTCAATCTCTCAGCAACCAGGTGCTTCGCGCGAACTTATAGAAATTTGTCCAATGACCGAGCAAGGAGACGAACTTCTGGCACTAGCATCTTGCGTTTGGACCCTCAAGCCGACAGGCTTCCCTACATGCTGCCAGGATGGGCTATTAAGCCTCAGAATCCCCATAATGAACCCTATCAAGGGCTTTTTAGGGATTATAGGGTATCATCATAATGAACACCAAAAAAGGGCCATTTAAGGGATTCTCGGGAGGGCCTTTTAAGGGATTCGAGGGTGTAATAGCCCATCCTGGTACACCGGAAGTCCATGCCCAAGACCCGCCTGACGGTAGCCTCACCCCCAAGCTTCTTCACAGCGGCGTTTTCCAGGAGCTCCTGGCCAGGCGTTGCATGCTCCTTCCATGTTAGGTTTAGGGTTTAGGGTTTAGGGTTTAGGGTTTAGGGTTTAGGGTTTAGGGTTTAGGGTTTAGGGTTTAGGGTTTAGGGTTTAGGGTTTAGGGTTGTGCCACCAGAATGCACTTTAGACTTAGCGTTCTTTCTGTGGCGGCTGGGTGCAAACCCGGGAACAGCTGATGGGTTTAGGGGTTGCAGTGGGCATCCATCCCCTGCCTCAAGCCCCCGAGGTCACTTCCGATCATCCCACAAGCGTTTAGGGGTTTAGGGTTTAGGGTTTAGGGGTTTAGGGGGTTTGTGGTTTAGGGTTCAGGGCATTAAACGCCTCTTGCCGAAAGCACGGCGATGCACACAACTTAGGCTTGGCTACCTACGTCTGGGGGAACCAGGAAGCAGCAACAGTGAAAAAACCAAGCTTTCGCATATCTCTTTGGAGCTTCCTAAGCCCTGTAAATGCACCCCCCCCCCGCCCGGCAAGCTAAATAACGAAACCCGTGAAGCCCAGATCCCGATACAGCTCATGAGAAAGAACCCCTATCCCGGCACGAGCCCTCATCCCGGTGCACCTTGGCCGATGGCCGCTTGTTCTGGTCCTTCTGCAAGGCCAGAGCAACCACCCCCTTGACCTGTCAAAGGGCTCCAGCCGGGTGTAAACATCCCGACTCCCTATTGCGGCGTTCTTCAGCTTGCGTTGTGCTTTCATGGACCTCTGCGTTGAAGGGCACCGACTAAGATTGAGATAGTAGACCTTCGCCACAGCAATGTACGGAGACTTGTCTTGTAAATGCATCGACACTACTCTCTAGATCAGAAAACACTATGTGCTCAAGCGTCGGAGCACGAAACAGGGAGAGTCACACACTAAAAACCCCCAATACCCAGCTCAATGCGCAGCGGATGCCTACTTAGTCAATGTTGGGCTTGCCAGACCAGGTGTCTGCTGATTCAAGCACAAAATGCGCGCACACACACACACATTGTACACGCGAATGTAAAAGTACATATACATACATACATATATATATATGCATATATGTGTGTGTGTGCATATTTTCAAGGACATGCACATTGTCCGCATAGCTATTGTGGCTGTGGTGTTTACACATATCTTTTCTGTGTGTGTGCTTGTTTGCTCATGTGTGATTCCGTGGCGAGCGCATGTGCATGCATGTTACTGTATCTCTAAACCGGCCCTTTCCCCCGTCCCCGTGTAGCTCCACTCCCCCCCCCCTCCCCCCCCGCGCCGTGATGTAGTCTGTGTGCAGGCACGCCCTGTTGAAGACTGCTAAGCAAAAATACACATACACAGATTCTTTTCTGTGTATTTATGTATATATACACACAAACACACACCGGTACAAACATACAGAGGCACACAATGGCACGCATATACCTGATATGGGGATTTCCGAAAGTAAGGATACCTCTTATATACCCTAAAAGACGTTCTACTCCTTTGAAAGAACCCCGAAAAAAACCTCAGGGCACCTAGTAACCAATTACAACTGTACTTATAACCCGATCCTATTAGGTACTTAGGGGGCTTATAAGTTATAATTGGTCACTAAGTACCCTGAACCTCCAAGTATTTTCGGAACCCCCCACCCCTAAACCCTAAACCCTAAACCCTAAACCCTAAACCCTAAACCCTAAACCCTAAACCCTAACATAGCAAAGAATGCCACGAAGCCCAGGTCAGGGCCTCCTCGCTGCACCGATCCGGCAGCGGAGCGGGCTCCTTCCGAAGATTTTGCATCACTACTTGGGTTTAGGGTTTAGGGGTTTAGGGGTTTAGGGGTTTAGGGGTTTAGGGGTTTAGGGGTTTAGGGGTTTAGGGGTTTAGGGTGAAAGTTTAGGGTTTTGTTGCCACCCGCCAAGCAGTCCAGCCGCATTGCAGGGTAACATTTCGGGACGATGTACAGTTTCAAATTGTGTTTCAAACGTGTCACTACTGTGTCTGTTGTTGCTGGGGCCCCCCAGAAAACGTGAGGTCTGCGAGATAGTCATTGATAACCCTTCAGATTCATCGGGCCAAGTTCTGCAGGGGCGCCCTTCGTGAGACAGTGTCCGCGGAGCATGTTCGGGGGCACTCATACCTAGGGCTTCTACCATGTGTCCGGGGGCGGGGGGGGGGATAGTGGGGGGTCATAGGGTGCTTGCGTCCACGCCAGAGGCAGCTACCTGGAATCTGGGGGTCTGTCCTCCCATCCTGTAGGCATCAACCAGTACCGTTACCACACTTACATAGATCCTCGGATCTAGCGTTCCTGAGAGACCACAACCGCAGTACTGAGCAAGCACATTGGATTGTCTCATGCAGGGTGCATTGTTTGGAATGATGTTAGCCGCGTGATCCAGCGGCACAATGAAGGTAGTCCCGTCTCTTGGTCGCGTCCGAGTGAATGCGAAATTCTCACCTGCCGCAGCAATTTCAGAAAAGGTTGCCATGATATGTATGATGAGGAGATCGACATGCTCGCCAGTTGCCACTAGTGATTCGGCGTACTTTCGAACCTCAATCGCGGACTGGGTTCCAGTTGCTGCAGCAGGAATTCTTGTCATAGTCATCACTTGGCTCATGAACGTCTTGTTAGACACTTCGTCAAATGAACCAGTGGCAACAGTTCCCCCCAGCAATATCTGCCCGTGGAAGTGCACTTGGCACGAAGTACTCCCGATCAGAATTCTGCTGAGAAAGCGCGGTCGGAAACACCAGGTCACTGCCAGACCTGGATACCACGCCCAATGTTCCAAAATTAACTAAGGAAGTGATGCGAGCTTCGCCTACCGAACCTGCAAGCGCGTCGCTGTCTGCAAAGACGAGCATTTCATCCAAGCTCCCCCGATTCACATCCTGTGCCGCGCGCTCGACCACAACATCGGATTTAGCCACCTCAATTCGGGAAGTATCAAGGTCTTGTTTCGTGTGTCCCAGCGGAACCAACGTTAACAAATTGTCAACTCCCGAGTAGCTTTCTCCAAATACAGTAGTCGCATCCATGATGCGAGCGACAACCAAGGTTGAATCTCACAGACTCAAAGCCGCTTCCTTGGCTTCTTCAATCCAGGCACCTTTGCGTCACTGGGACGGCTCCAAGGTTTATGGACTGTGGGCGGCGGTGTTGCCACCCTTGGACGAGTTGGGTCGTCGACCCGATAGACTGGACGAGCCCGAGCCACCACCGACTTGCCGAAGGCGAGACCACTGGCACTGGCAAATTTGAAAAACCAGGGCTCCCACTCACTCGTGGAAGCTCGTGAAGATCCACAGGCCGAGGAATCCGAGATACGACTCCTGCTACCACTCCACGCAGTGTCGTGATAGCAAGAGCAGTACCAGGCAATTCCTCGGCCGGTGGGACTGGAATGTGGCAAAAGCCACGAAAAGCACGGAAGGCACCAAACAACCAGCTCAGTACCACAAACAGTGTCACAGCAACGAAAGTAATGGCACGCCATTCCAAGCTTGAGCCAAAATGGCTACGGGTTTAGGGTTTAGGGTTTAGGGTTTAGGGACAATCCTTAATTGGGATTTTAGTACCCTATTACAATCCCATTGAGGATAGGGATGATTATCTTTTATCTTTGGCCCCCCCAAACGATTTCGAAAAAACAATCTCCCTTGTAAGGGGAATAGAGGGATTGTTAAGAATAAACTCCCCTATTTGGGTCACATAGGGATTATTATCTTTTGTCTTTTTGGTCTTCTTCTTTTTTGGGGGGGAGGGGGTCTTTCATTCGGAAAGAATGGGTTAGGCTTCGCAGGCTTCGAGGGTTTGAGGCCTTTGGACACTTCAGGGTTTCACACGATTTGGCTTAGGGTTTAGGGTTTAGGGTTTAGGGTTTAGGGTTTAGGGTTTAGGGTTTAGGGTTTTAGGGTTTTGGGTTCAGGGTTCAAGGATTGGGGCTCAGGGTTTAGGGTTGCTTTTGAAGGTCAACCATCTGGCCACCGCAGCCAAGGGTCCGCGCTGATGATCTTCATGAGGGTGGCCGCCATGTTGCTCGCTTGAAACGGGTGCCTGAGCTTCCGCATGAGTGGTGCCTACGCCATCTTGGGGGTCTTAGGATTTTTTAGGGCTTGTAGGAGGTTTTGGGGGGTTTTGGGGGTTTCAGGCTCTTTGGGGGGGTTTCAGGGCTTTTAGGGGTTCCAGGGTTTTTTGGGTTTTTTTTGTATCTTGGAGGGATGCCCGGCGCCACATCCTGCGGAACTATAGCGCCGGGCGTAGAAACCACGGATCCCACGCAAGGCAGGTTTAGGGTTTAGGGTTTAGGGTTTAGGGTTTAGGGTTCAGGGTTCAGGGTTTAGGGTTTAGGGTTTAGGGTTTGGGGTTTGACTTGCTAGAACTCCTGCAGTGCCAAGCCCAGTCGAGGGAAGGGTGCAGGGGGCCTTCTTTATGTTTTTGTTCCTAGTGTTTCGGGAAAAGGCGGCTTAGGGTGTCCCGAAACCCTAAACCCTAAACCCTAAACCCTTTTGAACCCAGGCTCGGACAAGCTTGCTGGGAGTCCCGCCAAACCCTAAACCCTAAACCCTCAACCCTAAACCCTAACCCTTTCCAGCCCATCTTCTGCTAGTCCATGCCCGAAGCAACTGACTCGCAACAGCAATCGGCCAGCTGTTTCGTGTGCTATGTGGGCATGTCTCTGAACTGGAGGTTATGCACCCAAACCCTAGAACCCTAGAACCCTAGAACCCTAAAACCCTAAAACCCTAAAACCCTAAGACCCTAAAACCCTAAAACCCTAAAACCCTAATACCCTGAAACCCTGAAACCCTGAAACCCTAAAACCCTAAAACCCTAACCCTAAACCCTAAACCCTACACCCTAAACCCTAAACCCCCAAAATGCTGCTCCGATCTCATCTCTCCGCAAAGCGACTTGAGGGCGAGGACTTCATAGAGGACGGCTCCCAGAGACCAAACGTCGATGCGGCTTCCTGTGCTTCACAAAGGGCAACGGCTTCAAGTTTATGACGTTGGGAATTAGGTGCTATGATGCGTGGTGGGCTATGCTCATTTTAGCTTTGACTATGTGATGATCGCTTATGTGTGGTCCACCTTGGTCGTATTTCAGGCGAAAGGCCAAAGACAGCGGCCAAAGGCTGGGCCGAACAGTTTATGTTAAACCCAAAAAACCCTTAACAATCAGTTCCTAGCGTTTCCAAGCACGCCTAAAGGTCAGAATTCCCCTTTTTGAAGCCTCTACTTGCTGAATGTGCCAGAGATGTGCATCGTTTCGACGTGGCCCCGTAAACTCCTGATGCCAACGTTGCGATTTCAAAATACACTGCAGGGCGGGGCGGGGGCGTGCTTTTGCGCAAGTGAACTACTCTGACGCACCACCCGGATACATTTTTATTAGCAACTGCAATACAAGCTGCAACTGCAAGAGCACGTGTATACGATGTCTCGGACGCAGTGGGTTTGTGATTTCCTAAAAGCCCCCGGGCCCGGTCGAGGCGGATCCCTTCTAGCCGGCCTGTACTCCAGCTGCACCTGGCAAACAATCAACTTTAGGCTCTGTTATTCCTTTTGGCCCCCCAAAAACGAGCAGTTCGATAAAGACCTACTAGATATTACTAGATAGAGGCCTGAACTGCAGTGATGGCAGAAACTTGCTGGGATGTCTTTCAGAGTGGGATGGGCTGTGAGACTTCTATGTTTGGGTCGCAGGGGTTTAGAACTAGGCACACATGTTCCTAAACCATGGCAAAGCGTCCGTACTTCGCGCCGTTGCAGATCTCGGGCGCCTTAGTTTCATCTTCCAGTGTCTCATGTGCTTCCCGCTGTATCCAGCTGTCACCAATGCGCCCCAAACCAAACCGAGCAAAGGGGAGCCCCAAACCGCTGAACCCGTTGAATTCCTGAACCCTGAAAACTTTTCCCCCAAAGCCCTGAGACCCCGAAATCCTACATCCCCACTTGCAATGGATGCCAGACCTCAACCCTTTTGCAACAGGCTTGCCACTTCGACCTAATAAACCCTAAACCCCTAACCCCTAACCCCTAAACCCTCAGGCCTAAGCCCTTTTGAGCAACGGACTTTGGAGGCTGCCGGCAAACATGCAACTTCTTAGAAGTCACATCACGCAAAACATTTAGGCCTGATGCCGAAGCCCTAAGCCCTAAGCCCGACTTCCACGTTTTTATAACAACATGCATTTCTTCAATGGTCTATATTCTTACTAAGAAGAGTGAACAAACTCCAAATGCCTTTTGCAACAGGCGCAACAGGGCTAATCGTATCCGGGCGGCCAAGTATGCTGGCGTCCCAACTACGGTGCCCGCGACCAAAGTCTCATCCATCACCTTTGAGATGCCTGGGCTCGCTTTGGCTCGGAACCCAGATTCTTTAGGGATTAGGGTTTAGGGCTTAGAATACCCTAACCCAAATAAGGTTAACCGTTTATTTGTAACAGGAGTTTTATATAATACCAAAAAGGGTTAAAGGTTAATTACCCAGCCCCTTAAGGATCGGCTCAGGCTAGACGAAAAAGGGGCGAGTTCGGAGAAGTCCGAAGCCCTAAACCCTAAACCCTACCCAAACTGGTGGTATCTTTTTTTGGATCTCGATTAGAATTACTGGAACCTCTACAAATAGGAGTCCTATCTCTTGGCCTGTTGGGATCCCTATGGTACTACGGAACCTCTACAAATAGGATACCCCCACAAGAAGGGGGCCCCCCCTCGAAGTTACGGGGCGTTTTTTGCAGCTCAGGGGGCCGAAATCGCCCAGCTTGGCATCGCCAGATTTCATCAGGAAGATGTTCTGCGTCCTCAGGGCCGGGCCTACTGTGGGCCGTCACAGAAATCGTGTATATATATATATATATTTATTTATTTATTTATTTATATAAGGCGCCGTAGAAAAAAGACTAGGAACCCAGAAAGGGTGCCCCTTAGTCTTATTTCCCTCCATATATGCAAGCCGGAGGCTTAATGTCGCGATGAAGGATCTTCTTCCTTAGCTGCTCGTCACGGCTCTGTCAAGCAGATCTCCCCCTTCCAGCACTTTTCGACTCTCACACTGGCATGTGCGGGCGAGGCAAGGAGTCGTAGGTCGATGAAAGTAGCACTTTTGGAGTTTAGGGTTTGTGAGGTTCAGGGTTTGTTATAGAGTTCTTCAGGGAGGAGGGTTCAAGGGAAGAATGTTCCCAAATACTCCACACTACGCCCTAAGGCTCCCTAAGCTTTTGCAAGTTTCCTCAGGTACCTCCCCCCATGAACCTCCCTCTTTAAAAACCCCAACAGTGTATTAAGAGGTATAAGTACCTTATAGAGTCCCTACTAAGTAGCCCCTAAAGAACCCCTTAATAACCCCTAAGGTCCCTTCTAAGGGTCCCTCCTTTCTTCCCTTGAGTTTATAAGGGTTTCGACTCTCACAAGGTTCAGGGTTCTGCAGCAGCCGAGGCTCTTGTGGATGTATGCCAGGGCGCTGAGGCACTGTCGAAACCTAAAGGCTGAACTGCGGAACCGGCGATATCTGATCGCATGGGGGTTTGCGATTAGGGGGTACCGTTTTTTGGGGTCTTTATAAGGGAATCCTCCCTATTCGGGGGTCTATGTTAGGGGTCTATCTTCGTAAACTCCCACATGCTTACCACTAAGAAGGTGTCGACAGGTGGGTGTCCTCACAGAGCCGACGGCAATGAGCAACATCCCAAAATGAGAAGTTTGTCCTGAGCTGCTGGCAATGTCATCGCCTCGTCGTCGCTGAAGAACTCGTCGCCCTTCTGCCGCCTTCCCACCACAAAGAACAAATCAACACACTCCCCAAACCGAAGTGATCCTCGAACCCTCAAAGATGCGCCAGTCGGCTGCAATCGTGCACGGTCCAACAATCCCTAATGCCTTTCCATCCACTATAAGCACCGGAGAGCCACCACCAGAACTACCGGGCCTCTGAACCTCCGTGTAGAGATCACCTGGGCAACATGGCGGCGCACTTTTTGCTAAGGGCTGTGCAGCGCTTGGAGAATACCTAAAGCAAAAAGAAGAGTGAACATGGCCACACATTGACTGTGAGGAGGCAAGCTAGGGTCTGGGCCACCATCTGCGTACTCGAGCACGATATGCAGCCTGTCTGCCTGGCAACATGGAGTCGAAGGCAAAATGCCAACTCGCAATCGAAAAAAAACTGAGCTAACTATGGACTGACAAATCACAATGAAGATAAGGACGGAATCATTCACCCACAGGAGACACAACTAATGCTCTACGTCCGTTGAGTTTGGGCCGCCCTCTGTGGTGCCGAAAGCCCGAACGCCATCCTGCAAAGCCCCAGAAAACAACCCGATCCGGAAAGAGTATGCATATATATATATATATACACATATACATATGTATGTATGTGCGAGCGTGCACATTGTACAACCCTAACCCCCCCCCCCCCCCCCCCAATCTCAACATGAAATCCTCCGGGAAAGGCTAACAAGTACATGACATGAGGTGCGACAACTGAAAACGGAGGCAGATGCGAGAGGCTTCCGAGCGAAGTGCTCCAGATACAAGCCGGCATGATCCGGCATGTACACGGGTACTGCATCCCGAGCAGTGCAAAACACCCTCAAGACCACCAGCCCGCAACAACCACTCAAAGACGGACCAACTGCCCCCTTTGGAAACAAACCAACACTGAAGTGAGTCAACATCCAGGAATCCCTGTCACAGATGCCATTCCGTCTCCGCGGTGTTGCCATATACGTCTGTGTCTCCACTACTGCACTCACGCGTGCGTGCAGAAATTCGTTCCAGGCCGCGTCTCTGGCGCTGGTAATTCGGGGAGACCTGGGTCTAGTGGTATCTCAGCCAGGAAGTGTCCACCATGCACGTTCTATTCTCTCTATATGGCATAGCCGCTCGTGTGATATGCCAGCACACTGCAGCAGCAATCGTTGGACGCAATTTGTTTGACCTGCCCTGGCTTTGCAGAGAGATTTTGAGACACGCCAGTCGTTCAGGAATAGGAGACTATTGCAAGGAGCTCAAACCGCCCAGCATGTTTTGGGTAACGCCGTGTGTGCTTGCAGTGCAGTGTGTGCACGCAGTTGCTTGCCGCGGCAATGCGCTGCGAAATGGAGCCGCACTCAGCGTGTTTATCAAGCCGCGCCTTTCGCAAGAGCAGCTCTACATGATCGCAACTCTTAGAGTAGAAGCCAAAAAGTTGGAAACTCATTAGCCTCACCCCTAAGAGCAAAGTCGAGGGAATGCCAGCACTATTTGTCCTCAAAAGGTTTCCAACTTTTTGGGGATGACTTGTATACCATTCAAGAGAGCGCATGAGGAGATAAGTTGTGTGAGGCCATGCCGGGGCAGATATCGATGTTTCGCTGCGTGTCGCAGAGTGGGCGGAGTTGACGGATGCTTAAAGTTCCAAGTTTTGCAGTGATCAGAATCAAACCCTAAACCTAAACCCTAAACCCTAACCCTAACCCTAAACCCTAAACCCGTCAGAAATGTCAACCCCAACTTTGATCAGCCCATATCAAGACGCTACGGGATTTGTTGCCTCAATGATACCACATGATGCGACATTGGAAGGCCAGTTTGGCGGGGTCAAAATAATTGGAGTTGCCACTAGTATTGTACATAGATGGTGTCTTACATTTTTAAAATCGTTTACCATGTGTTTCCTCACTTTGTACTATGTCTGTACAACATGCATGTACACATATATATATATGTGTGTGTGTGTATATACATATATAAATGGATGCATGTGCGCACACACATACATACACTATACACATTTTTTACAACCGAGAAAGCCCTCCCCGGATGTTCGGATCGCTCTGAGCGGTTCGCCTCGATGAACGTGTCGTAGTAGGCGATGATGTGCGGATGGAAGAGGCGGTGCCTCAATCGCACAAAGCTGGGTTAGGGTTTTAGGGTTTAGGGTTTAGGGTCGATGCCGAGACCGTTCTTGAGTGCGCCTTTGTCGTGCTGCGATCTGGAACTTGGGGGGCTTCCGAAAGAGGGATGATAGCAAACTTCTGGGATATCGGGGTATATATTTGGGTACATTCGGGTTACCCCTGTTTTAGGAACTGCCCATATGTTGCTCGCCGTTGCAGTTGAGAAGGCTTCCCCACTCCAACCTAGGGCAAAGAGCAGCTAAGGCCCCTCGCAGCAGGCTAACCTCGTCCTCTGCACTCTTCCGGGCCAGGGCAGACATGCCACCGAGGTCCACGGTCTTCACCTCGCAGAGGGGTAGTCGGAGCTTCGGGCAGCACTCGCTCCTCGAAAGATGCAAATCACCATGTTCATAGCAAAGCTCGGCAAAGCCAAAGCCGCCCGGAAGTCCCTGAAACCCGGAACTCTAAACCCTGAGGCCCCAAACTCTGTGCCACGTGCCCCCTCTTTCCCAGTGCTTGGGAGGGCGCAACACGGAGCGCTGAGGTTTCGCGGTGCTTCACCAGCACGGCAATGCCTTGGTGGTTGTACGATGAGACATGTAAGATTCATGCAATGTTGGAGGGCCGGTGGACGCTGTCGGCGTGGTTTTGGGCTTTGGGTTCAGGTGACTTCGGGCTTCAGCGGCTGGCTTCTTCGAGCTCAGTGTAACGCACTTTGTTCAGGTTTCGGGCCTGGGCGCTGTGTTTGCACAGCCTTTGGTGGAGTTTCTTATGTCCGCTCAGATCGTCACGAGGAGCCTTGTTCAATTTGCAGACTGTGAAACGCAAGGGACGGCTGTGAGGGTCAGAGCAGCTTCCAACCGAAGGAAGCAATCTCCCGAAGGACTGAAATGTCCACCTACCTATGGGCTATGGGGGGGGGGGTTTGCGATCCTGGCGGGGGGGGGGGGGGGGGGGGGAGGGAGTTACGAAAGGGGCCCTAATATGTACATCGCCTTGTTTTTAGGACCCCAATGAAGTCGGAAATCCCCATGTGCCTACAAGATCATCCCTTAAGACCCGCGCCGTAGGCACCGCGGCCCAAGTCCTTCTCTTTCCTCGGGCTTTGGAAGAATGCAAGGAACATATCCTTCGGGTTAGGCTTTGGGTCATTTGGACTTGGCTTTTGCACACAACCAAACCCTAAGCCACTCCTACCGATATACATGAACCTTAACCTCTAGTCGGCACGGGCACAACGGTTTGTCGGCATAGGCATGCTGTTTGACTTTTCCTTTACGCAGGCACAACGGGACACAGTTCGTCGGCATAGGTACCACGGTTCGTTGGCATAGGCACAACAGTTCGTCGGCACAAGTACCACGGTTCGTTGGCATAGGGAGGTCCGGGCGGGGTGCTGAAGGTCCCACGGAAGTCTGGAAAAAGGCTAGCGTTTAGAGCTCAAGGTTTAGCGTTCAGGGTGGGAACTCTCAGCTTATATATGAAGAAATGAACGCTTTTATGGGATTCTTTGGGCGGGAGGGTGTTTTCCCGCCGCTTGCAAAGCTAGCGGACGAGCGAAAGCTCGAACATGAGATGCTGAACCCTAACCCGTAAACCCTGAACCCTAAACCCTAAGCCCTAAACCCGAAACCCTTACACCTAAACCCTGAACCCTAAACTAGCTTCCAGGACAGGCTGGCAAGGTCTCGAAGTGCCAACGGGGCACTCGAAATCTGCCATGCTCAGCGAGGTGTTCAGCTCCATGCTGGGTGCCACCTGCTCAAGAGCCCCAGCAACCACTCTCGGAGCTTGTATGTTTATATGTGCAGACATATATGTGTATACATATATAAATATGTATGTATACCTCTATATATATATATATAGATATATAGATATATAGATATATATATATATATATATATAATATGTCTGCATTTGCTCCGGGCAAAAGTGAAAGCCAAAGGCCTCAGGCCTTAGAATATTGCGGACAAGGCACGGCGGATCTCACCTGAGTTCGGCACGGCTTGCGGGTGCCCTAAACCCTAAACCCTAAACCCTAAACCCTAAACCCTAAACCCTAAACCCTAAACCCTAGACCCTAGACCCTAGACCCTAAACCCAAGAGTTCTTGTGGTTCTGGGGATCTTCCATGGCAATCTGGTGAGGGAGGCAGGCGAACCTCTTCTCAGTTTCCGGACCTTGAAGCCGTGGCCTTGCAAACCCTAAACCCTAAACCCCTTTTTTTTGAACCCTAAACCCTGAACCCTAAATCCTAATTAGAACCCTAAACCCTAAACCCTAAACCCTTTGAAAGGCGGCGGAGGGGCCGGCGGGAGCTGCATCAGCTCTTCTGCGGTGGCGCGCTCCTGAAAGCAAGCGGACGAGAATGACAATGAACGACCATTGGGATGTTCACCCTTATCGGGTTCAGGGTTCAGGGTTCAGGGTTCAGGGTTTAGGGTTTAGCGTTTACAGTTTAGGGTTTAGGGATGTTCCCCCTTATACTACGTAACAGTTAACAGCCCTTACTAGGGAGTATGGTACCCCCTGTTATAATCCGGCTTCCTACGAGTGAACTAAATTATAAACTTGTGCATGAATTTAGTGAATGAGCCCCAAGACCCGGATGTAGAAACTAAGCGAAACCAACCATTACCAACAGATTTCCAAGCCTTTTGGGGGACTTCGTGAATGAGGAAAAGCCACATGAATGAGACCCCTTTGAACAAGAGCCAAGATTCAATGGATGGTTGCGTTCTCTTCACGTACTATAGGGTCTGAATGGTGGATCCCCGGGGAAAAGACGAAGAGAATTCAATGAACTTTATTACAAGCGAAGAGAATACGAAGCGCGTGAATAAAGTGAATGAATGAACGAAGTGTCAAAGAGGGGTTATCTTGTGTCCCAACCAGGCAATATTAATATAATGACCTGTGAAGTGAACTCAATTATTGTATTTGCAAGGAATTTAAGACGCGCGAAATACAATAATGGAGAGAACGAAGTGAAACAAAGGATTTTAAGGGGGCCACAATATTATTATTACAAAAGCCCCCTTAATAGTAAAACAACCAAAAGATAGGAAAGTTATTCCTGATCCAATAGATGACAGGGAATTCCAGGAATAAAAGAATCTGGAAAGGATGGGATTCTTCTTGGCATAACATTAAATCCTAAGAAATGCATTGGGGAAAAGGTAAGAAGAATACCAATAAGTATTAAATGTAGATGAAAAAGAGAAAGTGTACTAGAGGATGAAAGTAATAAATTCTTAAGTCTTAGTACCAACAATCTTTTCTCTATTAAAAATTATTCCAGAGAAGATAGAAATTATAGCTCCTAAAGAAAGAACAAAATGAAAATGTGCTACAACATAATATGTATCATGTAATCCTAGATCTACTGCAGCATTTCCAAGAATTATTCCTGTAGAACCACCTATAGTAAACATTAATAAAAGAGATGTGAGAAGAAGACAGAACTAATTCTAAGGTGTAATAATGGTGGATTTCCAAGATATGTAAAAAGCCAATTAAAGATTTTTGTACCAGTTGGTAAGGATATTAAGATTGTAACTCCTGTAAAATAAGCTCTTGTATCACTTTCTAAACCTACAGTATACATATGATGCCCCCAAACAAGACTTCCAAGAAGAGAAATAGATGACATGGCAAAGATCATTGATTGGTTACCAAAGATTATTAATTGTAAAATCCCAGAAATTATTATGGAAATGATCCCAAATGCAGGAATTATTAAGATGTAAACTTCTGGATGTCCAAAAAACCAAAATAAATGTTGATAGAATATAGGATCTCCTCCAAATATAGGATCAAAGAAAAGTGTATTAGAATGAAGATCACCCAATATTAAAAGAAGTGTACCAGATAAGATTGGTAATGTTAATAAAAGCATGAAAGCTGTAATCAAGAAAGCCCAAGGAAATAATGGGATAGTCTTTAATGTCAGATAATAAGATCTCAGATTTAGAATTGTTGTCCAAAAGTTAAGAGATGTAAGACATGAAGATATACCAGAGATTAATAATCCAAATATAAGATTTCCTGTACTTGAAGGTGATAAAGTCATAAAAGAAGTGGATAATGGTGGAAAAATGTTCATCCTGTACCACCTCCAAATTCTGAGATTATAGAAAGGATTAGGAAAAGATATGAAAGTAAAAAAATTAAGAAAAATTATTGACTCTAGGATATACCACTTCTGGAGACCCTTGAAAGATAGGTACAAAATAATTTCCAAATCCTCCAAACAAGCCAGGCATTACTAAAAAGAAGATCATAAGAAAGCCATGCAATGTAATGCTTATATTATAGAAGTTCTGGTTTTCTGGAGATATAATCCTATTTCCTGATGAATATAATTCTATTCTTATAAGGACTGATATTAATGTTGGGGAGCATCCCAAAAATGACCTCCATAAGACTGCAGTTTAGGGCTTCCTCGGAACAAGAACTTCGAAGATTGAAGCTGAAGTCCGCTGGGCTAAGCCCAATTTTTGAAAAATATTCCTCAATATGGCCCTCTTAATAAACCCAACCAGGAAAGCATGGCCCTCGTCCCAAAGGCCTACCTAGAGACGGACTTAACAGTAGGAGCTGCAACAGAAGAACCCCTTCACAAGCTCGACATGTGGACACTGCGCGTCACTTCTCCCTAACCCTAAACCCTAAACCCTAAACCCTAAACCCTAAACCCTAAACCCTAAACCCTAAACCCTAAACCCTAAACCCTAAAACTGAAGTCCTCAGGATTCTTGTTCAGCGCGCGGCGGACGACCTCCGCTCTCTGTGGGGGAGTCGGGAGTCAACGGGTTTTGCCGGCGGAAATGCCCCCTACGTGCCCGAACCCTCAGCGTGCTGAGATCGGAGGACTGCGGCACCCTGCTCGGGTCTCCGGGCTCATGTGCTAAACCCTAATCTTTACTTGTCGGTTACTTATATGCGCCCTAAGTCCCCGAAGTGGAGGGTAAGCAGAGGTATATTTGGGGTTTTCAGTACCCATGAACCTCCAAGTAGGGTTGGAATGGGTCCTGAAAACAAGGCCTCAGAATACTGCGTGTCGTGAGCTTTGCGGTTCTCGGGGAGGATTTGCACGTCACGCACGAACCCATGCTCGAAAGACCCCCCCCCCAGAGCAGAGCAGGACGACAACTTTGTACCGCAGTGTATCAGCATGCTTGAATCCTCGTAGAACCAAGTGAAAACCCCTGAACCCTAAACCCTAAAGTACTTTGTCTGATATTCCGCTGGTTTTTTGTACATGAACCAAAAAGTCCTAAACCCGAAGCCCTGTAAGGAGACGACGAGTAGAGTCCCAAGCCCTACACCGGGTTTAGGGTTTAGGGTTTAGGGTTCAGGGTTTAGGGTGTAGGGTTTAGGGTTTAGGGTTTAGATGAAGCCGCAGCATGAGAAGGCTGAGGTGCATCGCGCACTTCCTCGCGGCAAGAGTCTGGAAGAGGGGCCGGCTCGGCGTTCACGATCTTCATGATCCTGTGGTGAGCTGGGTTTAGGGTTTAGGGTTCAGGGTTCAGGGTTTAGGGTTTAGGGTTTAGGGTTTATAGGGCATTACATAGTTACTTCCCCCTTGGGATGTTCATGGATGTTCCCCCCTTCTACTATCAGTCCTGAATAGGGATCTATGTGATAGTAGTATCTTCCTGATCCTGTGGTGAGCTCATGACTTCCCCCTTTGGCTGTTTCCCCTCATAATAAGAGCCCTTAGGGCAGGGATTATAATAGGGGGTACTATAACCCCCTACTCAGGACTGTTAACTGGGTTACTATCTTCAACTCAGTCAAGAGAGTTGATGCGGAGTGACAGCGCCGCGACGTTGGAGGCGGTGAACGGCTGCACAAGCGCAAGCATCTCGTAGAGGACCACGCCCATGGACCACACCTGGTGCTGTTGAAGGGCGATGTAGAGCAGCCCAAACTTGCTTGTGCGAGAATAAGGGTTTCGACTCGCGCGCTCGCTGAAGCAGGCAAGGAGAAAGGGTTTATAGGGTTTAGGAGGGTTTAGGGATGTTTCGGGATCTTTAGGGTTGAGGGCTAGGCCCTATCCCGGGTGCTCACTATTGCATGTTCGCGCGCGCGCACTTGAGCCACGCACGCGGGTCTGGCGAACTTGCCCAGCCTTTTCATACCTACACGGACCTACACATGTCGACAGCTCCACTTCCACATGGTTTGTACAAAGACCATGGGAAGACCTAGACCGTAGCCTTGCTTGGCTGCAGCCTTTTTCGAGGAGCGATCTCGATCAGCGTTACCCCACCACCACCACCACCACCACCACCACCATCGGCATCATCCTCACAACCCCCAAAACCCTGAACAACGCCACGCGCGTTGCCGAAGGTACTGCACTGCCACATGAAACGAGGTTCCGCTTCGCAAGCTTGGGTTGTTTTTCGTCTATGGCTTGGAAACGCTGCAAACTCGTGCTTTTGACGCGCGCATGGTCAAGGTTTCGGGCTGACATTCACAGACTCGAAACCCTTTCCTGGAGAACAGAGAATTGGTGAAGGCTAAGTCTGTTGCAGAGATAGGCAAAAACGCTGTACATATCCGTGCTTTGGGCATGTTCCCAAAAGCATGAACACTTCTGACAGCACGTCTGGTTGCAGAAGCATCAAGCATTTTCATTTTAGATGTAAAGGCAAAAATGCTGAACATTCCAGCCTTACCCCCCCCCCCCCCCCCCCCCCCCCCCCAAAAAAAAAAAAAGTCTGCAACGTGTATCTGGTACTGCCGACCGGGGCACGTCGATCTTGGGGCCGTAGGGCTTGTCCTGGGAGGACAGACATTTTTGACAGAGCTCAGTTCTCTGTCTCCCACTGCCAGGAATGGCTCCCGGCCTCACAGATCTCCGGCGCAAAGTAGGACGGCCTCAGGCTTCAGAGACGGTAGCCGGCCCAAGTGAAGTTGAGGGGATGATTCAACTCTTTCTTGGAATCGCATGTCTTCCTAGGTTTAGCTTTAGCCAGGGACACAAGTCCTTGCCATTTGTGCCTGCAGGCCAGGAAGGCCAAAGGCGCAGTCGCAACACCCCTTCCGCAGACCCTAAACCCAAAACCCTACAAAAGACCTGAATCCCTACACCCCGAAACCCCAAAATCCTTAAGTTCCTTTCTGCGTCCAGGCCTCCTAGAAGCTAGTCTTTCGTTCCTAAACCCCCAACAATCTCCCCATAACTCTCCGCCGAAAAAAAGGGAAGCCTGGGGCACCCTGAGCCTGCTCCCTAGGACCCCCGCGTGCCGACCACCGTGCCCTGGGCGGCTGTCGTGGTCTCGATGACTTTCGAAACTGGGATCGGACGAGGAGGAGGGGCAATTCTCAAAAAATCAGGGTCCGGTGAGGGGGTAGGTTCGATAAGGTGCCGTACTGTATCTTGTTGTAGGGTTCAGGCAGGTTTGAAGGAGGGTGGTCTTGCAGCTGGGTACTAGGGGAAACCGCTCCACACGGCATTCAGACCCCTTTGCTTCAGTGCCTCAATTGTCAAACATGCTTTGAGTGCCGCTATGCGGTGCCCCCCCCCCCCCCCCCTCCCCACACCCAGAACGAACTCAGCAAAGGCAAACGTGGAAAGCGGAGCAAGCACGCCTTGCTGATCATGATGAGCACATAGGTCGCGCCGCGAATAAGCAACCGTCAGGATCTATGAAAACGGAGGGATGAGCATTGTGGTTAATTACCCACAAGGCATTCAAACCGTGATCCGCAAGTCGACGGCACACATGTGGCACTTGCAGTGCCGACCGCCACTTTAGTCTTTCAAGTCGTGCTACTAGCAGAACAAGCCACTGAACTAGACTCCCCTTAAAACCTTCATAAAATAGTATGTTCAAACACTCTTGGGTTTTATATAAACCAAAAATCCCAAGGGGGTAGTGAACCAGTCTGTTGTGGATGCAGGGGCCAGATGAACTAGTCAGCCAAGTGGCTGCCGAAATCGCCTGCCGGATGCACAACGCACCACGCGAGCACGCAATCGTGCGATCCGTAAGCGTGCCCCGCTGTCTAGGTTACTGTCCTGGTTGGTCAATGAGGGCCGGAAACCTCAATCCTTTTAAAACCCCACAAAGCCTCAAAAAGTCCTGGGTTGGAATGGTTGCTTGGGAGTTGGGCTGGGGCCCAACCCTGTGAAACCCAAAAAAATAAATTAATCAAACCCCCTGTGCCGCTGCCTATCTTCGCGTCGCCGGCTGCCATCATGAAGATGTTCTGCGACTTGATGTCACCTGGCAGTGGGCAAACACAAACAACACCGCCATCGCCCGCGAAGGCTTGAAAAACAAAACACTCTCAACCCCAAACCCCAAACACATGCACACACAATCAGAGGACCGGCCTGAGCGTGAACTACCAATGTGAACAAACCCACCCCGTTTGGAGTTTTTTGCCCGCCAAGCAGACCAGCCGCACTGCGGGGCAACCCTTCAGGACGAATGTTCTGTTTGTTCACCAGGGCTTAAGGTTTTGTGCGTAAACCCTAAGCCCTAAACCTCAGAAGCTCCAACCCTAAACCCGAAAACGCCATGATGAGCTCTGAAAGGGGGGTTTAGGGTTTAGGGTTCATAGGGTTCATAGGGTCATAGGGTCATAGGGTCATAGGGTTTAGGGTTTAGGGTTTAGGGTTTAGGGTTTAGGGTCAGAATTCCCAGAATGCCGCAAGAAAACCTGCATTGCAGACGCCGAGTCGCGGTGAAGGATCCGCTTGGAGTGGATGAACTGAAGCCTTGGGTGCGTTTAGGGGAGTGCATTTGGGAGTTTAGGGTTTAGGGTTTAGGGTTGAGGGTTGAGGGTTGAGGGTTTAGGGTTTAGGAATCTCGGCCCACCGCTCCTGTTACAAACTACCAAAAGTGGCACCACATGCTGGTAAAGAGTGGTACGAGATGGGAACGTGCGCCGACGGGTGAACCTGTTGGTACCTCTTCTTTTTCCCGGGCGAACAGGGGACGGGCGGCGGACTCTTTCCTTCTTTCGAGGGGCTTCAGGAGGTTACCCCGGACTGACTCTCTCTCTCTCTCTCTCTGTCTCCCTAAACCCTAAACCCTAAACCCTAAACCCTCAACAGTAAACCCTAAACCCTAAACCAAAAACCCTAAACCCTACGTAACCCTAAACCCTCTCCCTCCCTCCTCTCCCTCCATCCCTCATGGGAATTCTCAAATTGGGCGAGAGGGTAGCAAGTAGGCCAGGCGGCGCTGAGAGGCATTGTGCAAAGATGGTCATGGCCTCATCCTCTGAAAACGTCGCCTCGTCGTCCTTTTTTTGGGGGAGGGGGGGAGGGGGGTCTAGGGTTTAGGATTTGGGGTTTGGGGGCACTTGCCCTCCCAGGAGTCCTTCTTCTGCCGGATCAAGCTTGCGAGGTCCCCTCCGTCCGCATACTCCATCACGATGTAGAGGGTCGAACTTCGCATGAAGGTGTCCTGGAAGTTTAGGGTTTAGGGTTCAGGGTTTAGGTCTTTTTGGGGTTGAAGGTTGTTTTTTTAGTGTTTAGGATGGTCCTGTCACGAGAACGATTGTGAAACCGCGATGACAATACCCAAGCTTATTCTCAACCCTGATGCCTGTGATGGGCGAGACCCCCTCAAACCTAACAGAACACTCAGGAGCACGATGCAGAAGTTCGGACACTCAGCATGTTTATCCGGCTTATCGGGCGCAAGCTCGAACGATCTCTTGACAGGGCTGTTTAACGAAGTCTGCTTGGTTTTGTGAGGGCTTTGGGGAATTAAGGAACCTGCTCTCAAGACACGGGCACATCATTACGACTCTTAGCCACACCCTACTTAGAACGAATTCAACAAAGTCGTGCCCAGCAGCGTAGTAGGCAATGATGTGCTGGTGAGTCCTTGCAGAGCTTGCAGCAGAAGCCAAGAACTTAACCTAAGGTTCACCTTGACCACATGGGGGTTTTCGAAATAGGGGTACCTTATTGGGATCCTGATTATAAGGGAATCCTACTATTTGGGAAGCCATTATAGGGGTCCCTTATTTTCGTAAACTCCCACATAGATCACGCGTACTTACCACAGTCAATGGGTGCCCTGCCTCTACTCGGCAGCCCCTCTCCACAGTGGTTCCCAAAACCTTGCCCTCTTTGAGGAAGCTGATAAAGCTTGAACTTACACCTTAAGTTGTCTTCAACCTGCGCGAAATCGCGGACAGCCCGGCCCAGCGATGATGTATGACGATATAAGGAAGGCATCTAGCGACACCCAGACTGTCCCTTAGTAGCCCAGCAACCCTAAACCCTTTTGTTAGTTGGTTGCCTGATAGGGAAACCCAGAACCCCCAAAAAAGGGTCAAGGGTACCACTGGGCTCCCAAGGTCGTATCAAGGCACAACCGCTGGAGGACGCCAACCTGCACGGGGCCCAAGGAATCGAGGGTTTACAGTAAGCTCCAAACAGTTGGAACATCCTTATCCCCATACCCCCCCAAAAGTTCAAAAGGTATACTGAAGGGAATCCAAGCTCTTCTCGTCCTAAAACCATGTTGCAACTTTCTGGAGCTTATTGTAGGGCCGATTGGGACCGGAGGGGTGAAGTCTCGGGCCGGAACTAACAGCATGTTGCTTCTATCTGCGGGGTTTGGTGCTGTATGAAAAGGCAATCGTTGGGATCAGGGGGTGAAGAGAGAGAGAGAGAGAGAGAGAGAGAGAGAGAGAGAGATAGAGAGAGAGAGAGAGGGAGAGAGAGAGAGAAGAGAAAGAGAAAGAGAAAGAGGAAGAGGACATGCTCACGCGGCAGTCGGGAGCAGGGATAGTTCCGCTGCCCGCAGGCGCAAGGTCTAAGCCAGCAGCAGCCGAACGGCCTCCTTGTGTGACTCCTCCAGAGCTGTAGCTGTGAGGATGCTAAGGTCCACCTGCTTGATCACCTCACAGTCATTGGGTCCAGGCATACAGCTTTGAGACGTTGTTGCTGCAAGGTACCTCACGTCTTGCAACTGCACTGTGGCACATCTTCATCATCTACCTCCTCATGCAGATCGCGCTTGCGCTACGCGCGTTCCTGAATTCCACGAGAATCTGAAGTCTTATGCTTATGCTGCCAGCTCGAGCTTGCCAGGGCGAGGAGGCAGTTGGGCCAGCTCACTTAGGTGTGTGCTATCACCACGATGCTTCAGCATCTCGGATTCTGGGCTCCGCACGCGAAGGGCGCCGCCTGCGGATGGGCTCTAGGGTCTTTGATATGGCTTTTTTGTGATGCGAGGAAGCTCCGGGACGGGCACAACGCAGCATGAAGTCGAAATGTCGTTCGGGCGCAGCTACGAGAGCCAGACCCTTCTTCAACGCTTCCGTGCCAGGGTGCGGCGCAACAATTGGGCAACCAGAGCCGGCGTTGTTCTTGCGACAGCCCCTTACATTCTATAGTGTACTATATACAACAGTATTTTTCACAGATTCTTAGATCTATGTGTACGTTATGGCTGCAGGGCTCGAGGCCCTTCGAGGAAAGGCTCGAGGCAGTGGCAGTCATATTGGATGTACAGCTATGGTCCTGACTTCACTGGCCGCTTTGACGCAAAGCTTGGGTCATTCAGGAACGTTCATGAAGTTTCTGTGAGAAGGCTTCTAGCAGATGCTTTAACACCCCTGCTACGGTTACTCAGTTAGTTTCGTTCCTCAACAAGAACCCAGATGCGGCGTTGCGATGCCGAAAGCCCGCCTTCTCCCTCAGCGCGGGACTTCACCAGTGTGGCAACGCCTTCGCGGACGTGATTCTGAGGTCTCTACTGCGCTGCCCGTTTTAGGGTTTAGGGTTTAGGGTTTAGGGTTTACGGTTTAGGGTTTAGGGTTTAGGGTTTAGGGTTGGGACGATGCCCAATCCAGCATGGACATTCTGCAAGGTTGGAAGCTTGCCGGGTATTGTCTAAACCTAGATAAGACTCTATATCATGAATGGAAGCCACTTCTTGTAAATATCTTACATGAAGTGGCACATCTAATACAGCTATCATTAGGAATTGGTGAAGATGGCCTTTGGGTGGGGCCCAACATACCTGCCTGTCCCTGAACCACTTTGGGATCTCCTAGAGTCCTACCGAGTACAGCCACGCAAGGCGATCCATATGTTGCTGAGGCATGGGAGCCCTTGTCCTTTAGGTAGTACTCCTGACCACCTCTTCCCAGGTCTCCCCTCACTCTACGTCCCCTGCCCACCCGTTCCCTTTTTCTTCCCCTCTCTCTCGCTCTCTCTCGAAATCTGGGCTGGTGGCCGAAGGCACCACCTTGGCTTTTTGCTTTGCTTGTCTTAGGGCTTGAGAGTTGAGAGGTTCACTCTGATTGTTTAGCACAGGCTAAGAGGATTGCTGCCTTCCCAACTTTGGAGGACTGGGTGAGGTTCACCGTCACAGGCTCGTTTACGGCGCAGAGACACAGGGGGCACCAGAACTATGGGCACGCTGATGGCACACGGTGGCTTCAAGTACTTGAAACCTTCCCACCCTAAAGGCTAAACCCGAAACCATAAACCTGTATCAAATTCCCCGGGGCCTCAGGTCAACTGTGAGCTAAACCCTTGGGGATATAGACCCTCTCCATAAGGTCCCTGTGTAAGGGAGCCATCTTGAGCTTCCTCAGACAAAGTCAGAACAAAGCCACAACAATGAGTCAAAGGGGAAAGAGTCCGTCAAAATTGCGCATAGCTCTCAACACGACCCTGCACTCCAGTGAGGAACGGCACGGCTGGGTCATTGGACCCTGTGAAAGAAGAAGCTTGGCTTGCTAGACGCTCCACAATCTTTCCAGCCTTGGATTCGGGGCGTGGCCCCCTTCTTAGGGTCCCCTTATCCTACCTAGGACAAGCTGGAGCTGGTTTAGGGGTTTAGGGGTTTAGGGGTCAGGGCTCACGTGCGATTCTAACCCGGGAAACCCCCAATCTCGACGAGGCGCGGCCAAGAGTCTTGACCTGGCATTTGCGGGGGTGGGGCTTAGGGTCCCCAATGCTTGGAAAGCCCCGCTTGGGGCTGGTGCAAGCACCGAGTCGTACCGAGAAATTCCCGCATTTTCCAATGAGGGTGACAGCATACTCCTCACGCCCCCCACTCCCATGTACAGCCAAGAGAGAAGACATGTCAAACCTCCCGCAGAGCGTACTTGTCTTTGACCATGATTCTGAACATAATCATGCTTTTCGAGGCACAAGAAATCGGCTCTCAGGTTTACTCGACATGATACGATAAAGTACAATGTCCAAGACGGACTTGCGTAAGCAGTGTGCAGCTGGGTCCCGCTTTTTCACAAAAAGCTGTCCGTTTCAACCCCCGTTCGGCTGCTTGACACTGAGGGAGGAAATGTGCTCCCCTAGGTTGAATCGAGAGGATGTTGGGAGACCCTGCTCACGAGGTCATTGGGTGTGCGTCCCAAAGACCCTGCAAAGCACGACAAGATCTCCAGGCTGGCTGCCCGGCCTCTTCGTAGTGTTCCAATGGGTCATCACTCCTGAGGCAGTTGCCGCATGGTCTTTTTGGGCTATTCTGAGGAGTTTGCGCCGCAAGCTGTGCAAGGCATGTTCCCGTGACGACTTGTTGCTAGGGGCAGTAGCCGTGCAGGTATACGTATGGTATATGTGCCACCCCACATACCCTTCTGCATGATTTTGCATCCTACGACTCTACGGCCCTCCCAGCGCCCTGATAGGGTCCCCGGCGTAGTGCCGGAGCCTTCACGGGTGACTGTCGCCATCAACTGGGATTGCAGCCCCTAGATCCTACGTTTTGCAACGCTTGCACCTGAAACACGAAACATGTGGCTGCAGTATCTGGAGAAGCTGCAAGCGGAAAGACCTTTTTGCTCATGTACATGCCCTGCTGCATGCCCCGCCCCGCCGTGTCTTGATCTGGAATGCGGCATGAAGACTAGGTCAACACCTCCGAGTCCGAGTCATTTGCCGCAACCTGCTTACTACCATCTGCACAGCTTGGGATGTTCCCCCTTGTGCTAACAGTCCTTAACATGGGTTAACCCCCCCCCCCCCCCCCCCATTCTAATCCCTATTAAGGAGCTGCTAGTTTCAGGGGGAACATCCCAATGCACAGCAGGCGTTGGCCATCCTGGGGGTCGGGCATGGGGACTCGGGACATCTTCTGGCCCTGCGATTGCCAGCCCTGCCCTGCCAATGCCCAGGTGCATGCTGGCCCCAGATTGCCCATAGTTTTGCCCCTGTTGCCCATTTTCAGCTCATGAACTTCCACAAATAAGGGGCGGATAAGTCAGGCCTTATTCCCTGCCCACGACAGTGTGTCCCACGCATGCAGAATGCACTCTACCTCCTATAACTTATACCTTGTTGAAAGCTGACGAGCTTCTGGAGAGTCAGGGATGAATCACCGAACAGAATCAGACATGGCGTAATCGGAAAATGCGAGCCGACTCAGCCAACAGCCGGGGCTTAATCGAACAAAACGCCAAGGTCTCAATCGAAAAACGCCAGGGCTCGATCAGAATGCATGAAAGTCTGGCGTGAGGCCTTGATTCCGGCAAGGCCTCAAGGGGTCCTTTCTTGGAGGCGTTGCCGGCGCTTTCTGACCCATTGAGAACTGACGTGTCCTGATTCCGGGCCTGAGCATACCGATTCACGGAGGCTTGCTGTAGCCCTGTCACACTTCACCCCATGAGCGTGTCTGGGGTGCAGGACCTTGCAGCGGGCTTTTCCGGACTGCTTTGCACGGCACTGCTTGCCGACACCATAACTTTAACACCACACCTTGACATGCAGCATGGATGGAAAAAACCGGCATATGCCGGCATGCTCCCACGCTAAGGCGTGCAGAGGTTTCCGAAGATAGGGGACCCTTTATATAGACCCCCAAATAGTAGGATTCCTATATAACAAGGACACCGATGAGGTGCCCTAACTTCGGAAACCCCCCATGTGCGGCAAGGAGCCTGGGTCTGGGCTTCTGGGGGCCCTCGCTGCTTAGCAGACTGAGATCCCGAGCTGCGATGAACGTAGGATTTAGGGTTTAGGGTTTAGGGTTTAGGGTTTAGGGTTTAGGAGGATTTTTTTTTTGGGCTTTAGGGTTTAGGTTGAAGCTTCGGAAGGCAAAAAAATAGCAGAAGGCTCTCGAGCCGCCCCGTCTCACCAGCGCCAGTTCCACGGCATCCTCAGCCTCTTCCTTACTTTTTCCAATTTAGGGTTTAGGGTTTAGGGTTTAGGGTTTAGGGTTTAGGGTTTAGGGTTCAGGGTTTAGGGTTTAGAAAAAAAGGTTAAACTTCATGATTCCTACTAAGTAAGGAAACCCAAGAAGTTATAAAAGTTCAATAATGTTGGCTAAGTGAGCTTCTGCAGCAGGGGTGGCGAGGAGAAGCCGCATGCTGCGAGGGCGCGGTAGGTCTCCTTTTTCATCCTCGGGGACCAGAGGAACCCCAACATTGGGGTCATAATACCCTGCACCTGCTCTAACTCCTGTGTAAGGTCTATCGAAAATTTGGTGTCAGAATGCCCTTTTTCTGCTATAAATCCTATTTAGGGTATCAATGAACCCTAAGCCCTTCTAGGGTTCGTTTAAGCCCCAAGGATCTGCTTGGTGCCCACCACAAGGAAGCCCGCGGTGGGCGCAAAGTCGCCGAAGGTTGATTGCAGCAGGGGCGGGTCGATGCGGGATCGCACGCAACCTTCCTTGGGGACGAAATGAACCCCAAAATTGGGGCTATTCTGCCCTGACTACTCTAATTCCTATGATGAAGGTATATGAACCATAAACCCTTCTAGGGTTCATCTCGTCCCCAAGGTTCATGGTCTTCTCTTGAAAGGGCAAAGACCACCTGGAATCGGCCCGGATGCTGCTGTGCCAGCTCCTGCAGCTCCTCCTGCCAGAAAACATCCATCCAAGTCTTGTTGCCCCAAAGCAAGACCACCCGCTCCACGACGTCAACGGGCTTGGCAAGCTGGGACCTAGCCACCGGCAGCGCCTCCGTGATCCCCACGCCGAAGGCGATGAGGCCCACGTGCTGCTGCTGGTTCAACGCGTGGGCGAGCCAGGGAACCGGCGCAGGGCCCGAGATCATGGCCTGGTCGCCCACAGCCAAACTGTCCTCGGTCTCTGGGGCGGGGGGGGGGGGTAGGGGGCGAGGGTAGGGGTGGGGGGTGGTGGGGGGGGGAGGGGAGGGTAGGGTGAGGGTAGGGGTGGGGGCGGGGGTGGTTGGGGGGTATGACACCTCTTCTTGGAAACGAAGGATCCTTGGCTTAGGATACTCAGAGGCTCAAAAGCAAAGCTTGTGACTGAGCAGATCCGGCGTCCAGGTGCCCGGAGCATTGGCCTCCGGGGTAGATCTTCACCGCCAGGTCCTTGGTTGTCCCTTGGGATGTTCCCCCCTTCACTAAACCTGGGGCAGTGATTATAATACCATAAGGATTGTTTGTAGAAGGGGGAACATCCCAAGTTGTCCAGTTACTGGTGCACTCAAAGGCTGCCAGCGCCCTGCACATGACTGCGGCGAACACATGCGGAGCAAACAGGAACCCTCTCTAAGAACCCTGTTGCGTCCAACCCTCTCTCTAACCCCTAAAACCCCTTTCTGACCCTTCTCTTTTCAGCCTAAACCCCCAACCCCCAACCCCCAAACCCTAAACCCTAAACCCTCAAACCTAAACCCTAAACCCTAAACCCCTCAGGTCATGTTCCCAGACTTGGGCTTCGCTGAGGATCGAAGCTCCCGGCACGCTGGCCCGGCGAGACGGGTGAGTACGACCGCACCGATCCAGCCGCACTCACCTCTGGAGAAAGAGGTTTAGGGTTTAGGGTTTCGCCACCCGCACTGCGCGCACACAAGCACCCGCTCCGCAGGGTTAAGCCGAGGTCTCCGGGAGTGGACATGCTACTGTGAGCGCACCACGAAAAGGGTTCGGACCAGCAGGAGGTCCCCTTCAGGCGAAGGTCTGCGTCATTAACTGATGGAGCCACCGGCGCGTGTAGTGCTACTAACAAAGACTACTAAAAGGGGACACAACACCAACACCACACCAGCCCAAGGCAAGGTAGCTCCACATCGTCTCTCCTGCCTTTCAGGCATCGGTCGTCACTCCTAGTCCCACTCTCGGTTGCAACAAAACGCCCAACATGGATTTTAACAGTAAAAACCAACCACAAGCCCGATCTGTCTGCGCTTGCCCCCGCGTACCCCTCGTATGCTTGGGGGCTAGGGAGCAGGGGAGGTCACACGGAGCACGGTCTTGAGGCTACCAAGGGCTAGCAACAAACCACCAGACATCGCTCCTAACACTGTAACAGAAACAGACCGGCGCGTGCTCCGACGGCCCTCGTGCAATCGAATTGGACTGCAGGCCTCGTTTGTCGAATTGGGGGGACCATGCACAGTTTGTGGTGGAGGGCAATGTTGGGGCGGTCATGCAGATCACAGTTTTGAGGTTTTCAAGGGAAGGCACCAAACCACCAAACATCGATCCCAACGCTGCAACGGAAACAGTCCGGTACGTGCTCCGACAGCAGGGTTTACGTAGGGTTTAGGGTTTAGGGTTCAGGGTTCAGGGTTCAGGGTTTAGGGTTGAGGCTTGAGGGTTTAAGAGGGGAAGAGAGGGGAAGATTGCGGACATCGGACCCGACATGCCAGGACATGGCGAGGGGAACTTCACCAATGGCATGCGCTCTACAGAAGAGGACGGGCTGTTAGGCCTTCTAATCCCCAAAAAGGAACCCTATAAAGGGCCCTTTTTAAGGGATTATAGGGTAGAGTAGCCCATCCTGGTAAAGCTAAAAACAGGGGTTTTGGGGGGCTGAAGTGTCCGGCTTATTTACATACGTTCTTGTTTTTTTTTGTTTTTTCTTCCGTCCTTGCCGTCAGCCGAACAAAGTATGGCGAAAACAGACCCGTGAAAAATTAGGGAGTACGTCACTCTTATGCCAGCGTAGACCCCAAGCAGGAGAGACGATGCGGAGACGCCACAGTTCTTCAACGGATCAAGAGCACGTCAACTCCCCAAAACCCTGTTTAAGCACGGACTGAGGAGGCCCTAAACCCTAAACCCTAAACCCCAAACCCTAAACCCTAAACCCTGAACCCTAAACCAGGCACCTGCACGCAGTCTCCCAGGCCCATGTCGAAGCCCAAGGACTCCAGGGAGCAGCCCTCGGGAAGCTGGAAGGTGAAACGCCGCACCTGAGTGCTGAAGCGGAGGGGGTCGGGTTTAGGGTTTAGGGTTTAGGGTTTAGGGTTTAGGGTTTAGGGTTTAGGGTTTATGTTTAGGGTTTAGGGTTTAGGGTTTAGGGTTTAGGGTTTAGGGTTTAGGGTTTAGGGTTTAGGGTTTAGGGTTTAGGAGGGGGGGGGGTTGGGTGGGTCGGTCAACAATGGCATGTTGGCGGGTAGGCTTTCAACTTTCGGGGCTCGAGACGTCGTAATGTGCAGTCCATGCCGGCTGTAACGCCGACATCTGTACTACAAAGACCAAGGATGCAGAGGAAGTGCGGAGCTCTGTTGGTCCGGAAATCCAATGCTGTTTTCCGAACATCGGGGTGCCCCCTACTACTTTGCACCTAACCCCCATCCTTTAGGAATTCTGGTATTTCTCGAAGCAGGTCCACCCCGAAACGAACTGCAACTTAGCTCGTTGTCAGGAAAGAGCCATCTAAATCGAAGATGGCTCAACGCGAGCCAATGCACTCGAATTAACAGACACTTGATGAAAAAGCTCTATTCACATCTTTCTTCTTAGACCATAGATTTAGGGTTTAGGGTTTAGGGTTTAGGGTTCAGGGTTCAGGGTTCAGGGTTTAGGGTTGTGGTTTCACCTGAACTAGATTTGGCCCGGTTCGGTGAAGTATGTACTCTGTAAAACGCATTTGCAGGAGTTCGTGCTTAGCTAGTTTTCGGTGGAACCCAGAAAGTAAGGTTGTTTGCCTGAAGCTCGGTTGACCCCTCTCCAGCGACATGTCTCTCGACATCGAACTAGATTTGACCTACTGACAGATGTTTGGACTCAAATTTCCGTTCTGACTGCACATTCCAACTTCATGTACTTGAAAATGCACGTAAACTCACCAAGAAATCACCGCGTAGTGTGGTCATCACTGTAACCTTCTTGATTATGCCCTTACTTTTTCTTGCCGAACTATATAGCTAGAGGAATTCCAAGATCAAATTGAACATAGTTCCGAATAGACTCTGAGCACATCTGATGTTCTCAAACTCCTGTTGCAGCTGAGTGAACCGCACTTACGCCAGCATACAGGCATAGAGCGAGCACCCTCGCAAAAAGCAAAACTGCTTGGATGCGCCCTAAACCCTAAACCCTAAACCCCAAGATCTTTTTGCATCCGGACTCGATTGGGTGTTGCCCTTTGAACCCAGGCCCTTTCCGTCAGCTGGCGCGAGACTACCCAGGGTACGTGTGCAGATATAGTTCACTGCACTCTCCCTTCCGAACACAGTACAAGACATTCAAACCCATCCCGGCGTGTTGCCCTAAACCCTTAATCAAAATAATCACGCTTTAAATTGTAGCAGATGCTTCAAACGATCTGCCCTAAACCCTAAACCCTAAACCCTTAACCCTTAACCCTAAACCCGAAACACGGCCCCTTTCCAAACAAGCCCAGCAGCTGGAAAGCCTTCCTCGCCACCTTCGGCCAGGGTCTCCTTGGCCAGCAACTCAAAGGGGCGGAACTGCCTCAGGGACTCCAGGGTTTAGGGTTTAGGGTTTAGGGTTTAGGGTTTAGGGCTTAGGGTTTTCGGTTTAGGGTTTAGAGGGACTTCAGGAGAACCTACTTTTGGGACATGATGGCCCCCTCCTAACATCTCTGGGACCTTCGGACCATCATAGACATTACATATGCCCATTTTCATACCATAGCATTAAGATCATGTTTTGACATACATAGATATACATATGTAATATGTATATATAACCGGTATCTTGCAATGTACTGTATAATATGTCCTTAGCAGATATTCCATACTTCGAGGACTGCCCATGTGGGAACGCTCAAGGCCTCATCGGCTTCATGGCCATCCCGAGCTGCCCAAGAGAGCCGGTGCTTAAGGTGAATGTCTTGAGTCTTGGGATGTTCCCCCTAGAACTCACAGCTCCTGAATAGGAATTTGAATTGGGGGGGGGGGTACTATAATCCCTGTATACTCACAGCTCCTTAATGGGGAATACTATAATCCCTATTAAGGACTGCTAGTTTCAAGGGGAGCCTCCCAAGGTGAATGTCCTTCCTGGAAAGCCAGCGCTTGGAGGTTCATGCGTACTTGTAACCCCAATTCTAACTCTACGTCTAGCCCATTTAGAGGACTTAGCGGGCTGATAAGTGCAGTTGGAATTTCGGCTATACTTACGCAGTTCTTAACGGTAAGTTATGAGGTCCCCTCCTACACTAAATAGGGATTCTAGTACCCCCGATTATAATCCCCAATAAGGACTGCTAGTATAAGGGGGAACCTGCCAAGTAAAGGAGCCGCGGTTGAGGGTTTCAGGCCCCGGTGGTTCGACGCCGAAACGGCTGCAACAGCTCTGCTTGCAAATGCTTGGCGGTTCGTTTAGGGTTTAGGGTTTAGGGTTTAGGGTTTAGGGTTTAGGGTTTAGGGTTTAGGGTTTAGGGTTTAGGGTTTAGGGTTTAGGGTTTAGGGTTTAGGGTTTAGGGTTTAGGGTTTAGGGTTTAGGGTTTAGGGTTTAGGGTTCTTATTACTTATAACCCCAGTGATACCTGTACTTGTAGGCCCCTAAGTAGTATGGACCCTGAAACTGCCTGACAGGTCATCGTGGCCAGGTGCCCGGGTTTAGGGTTTAGGGTTTCGGGAAACATGGTACCTTTGCATGTGACACATTTATTGGGGTCTCGGTGGCCAAGCTAGTGGAGGCTTTTACGATGGATGTTCTTCGACGTCGCATAGATACGAATATCATGTTCTGTCATTGCTATCATTGAGCGGCGGATATGAGCATTGGGGAGTGCAAAGATGCGAGACATCTACCCTTTTTTGAACCCAGGCTCTGAGCATACTACCCGAAACCCTAAACCCTAAATCCTAAACCCCAAACTCCAAACCCAAAAACCCTAAACCCCCACCACAAGAATCTCGCTGCGTTCGACACCGGCAGCTCATTTCTCGAAAGCGCGTCGCAACTTTGTCATTCTCGAAATTTGGGTTTAGGGTTTAGGGTTTAGGGTTGAGCGCCCAAATTAGGAGACACATCCATTCGACTTGTGAGGACATCGGCCTCTCTCGCTCTCGCCCAAAGTGTCAGAGGGAGCGGCCATAGGAACCCTTAGGGCCAAGCACGTGTCGTCCGACCTCCCAGGCCAACTCTCCCCTTGTGGCGGAGTCTGCTGACTTGGGCAGTGACTGTGCTACAGCAGCTGCCCAGCCGTGTCCCCAGAATGATCCCGAGATAGCGATGCTATGACAGCCCAAGGACCATTGTAGTCAAAGATGATGCCTTCACCACGGCAATCCGAAAGAATGTGGCCAAATACCCTTCAGGTTAGATGCGCCCTACAATACTTCGACTTCGGCGCCGCGTCTGCTGACTCCGCACAGTGCTTTGGGCTTCTCCAGCAGATGGCAAGGGACATTTGGTTGTGGCGTTTAGGTTGCGACTCTCACACGCACAGCAAGGGCTTGGGATTTAGCCACAAAGAACCCTTTGTCCGAAGCCTCGTTCCGTCAATGGAGACAGGAAGTTCGGCCTATGAGTGCCCGGTGTCGTCTGCCCGTGTCAACACAGCTCAGAATGCTTAGAAGTGCTCCCCTACTCGCTGCCGGTCTTCCGGCCACTGTCGCTGCTAACGACCACGGGGCCAAATCTCCACAGCTTTGCGTCCCTCGGCATCTGCACGGACACATCTTGAAACGATCCTGGGGCCGCGTGACTTGCATGGAAATCTATGGCAATCCATGGAAGCCCCAGAAGTCGTCAGAATGCCCATGCAGCCCCGAACTCCGAAGCGCTCAAGTCCTCACAAGACCAGACAAAACCCGACCTCGATTCCACAAACCGGCAACTCGCCGCATGCTCTCAATGACCGACTGTACCCGAACATACTTGATTTAAAAATCGCCCCAAATACACACCCCCACACCCGGCCCCATGGTTTCGCTGAGGTGGTCTCAGCATTTTCTCGCTTACGCTCATGTGGCTACAGCCGCGCGCGGGTGCAGGGCACGGCATGGGCAAGGCGAAAGCAAGCGACTCTGGGTCTTTGGGGCCTTGGTCATTGGCTGAGGGTCGGCAGGAAACATGGTAACAATGGGCACATCCTGCGAGCTCCATGAACTTGGTGCTTGGTTGGGCATTGTTGAAAGCACAATGAGACTCGGCGTTGAAATAGGGGCCACTGCCATGATGCTTTTGGTAGTTTTTATTTGTGGTCGAGCAGGAAACTATTGGTCATCCGAGGCCTCCGGCCGCGGTTGTAATGTCGCAGGTACCCACCTCCTAATCCTCGTCCCTGCACCCCGTGATTCTTTGACCCCTTTTTGTTGTCGTTTTGCTTGGTAGAGCCGTGCCACCTTGCAAACCTGGTCCTGCTTCCTTTTTGACCCGCCTAGGCACCCCTGTTCCCGTGTCCTGGAACCCGGGATCTGCTACACGCTGCCTCAGGGGCAGAGGTGGGCCGCGGAGCGTCCAAAATGATTTAGGCAGTTCGCGGAAGTCTGACAGCACCCAGTGTCATCCCTAAATGAAGGTTTAGGGTGTCGACCTGGTAGGGTTTAGGGTTTAGGGTTTAGGGTTTACGGTTTAGGGTTTAGGGTTTAGGGTTTAGGGCTTCGGGCTTAGCGGTTAAGGGTTTAGGGTTTAGGGGGTTAGATTCTGAAAGCCCATTGTGCCTGAGTCCAGCTTCCTTGCCTCCCGAGGAGACAAGGCCTTTCGGCGTGGCACTGCCACAGAAGGTTCTCTGTCAGTGGCCTGTCCTTACTCACATGCTGTAGGCCTGGGGCAATCAGGTTTAGGGGTGGGTAGATGTGGAACTCAGCATCGGGAAACGTAAGGAACTCTACAAGATGCTCCAGCACTGGAGTCTCACTCCGCTGCGTGACCCTGGAGTGGTCGCGTAAGTAGGGGACTGATAGTACCAACCATTCGCAAGTTAAGCGCAACAGTTGCTTGGTGCTGTGGCTGGGTCCTCTCCTGGCGGGCGCGGGTTTAGGGTTTAGGGCTGGTTTAGGGTTTGATCGCTCACACTTGGAAGAGCCAGGAGAGGCAGCAGGTCCAGAATCTGGGCTTAGGGTGTGGTGCTGCGGCGACTCGGAATTGTAGAGCGGACCTGGGGTTTAGGGTTTAGGGTTTAGGCTGGCCGACTGACGCACGTTCCTGCTTCTGCGAGTTTAACTCGCAAGAGGCAGATTAAACAAGTGAAGCCAGGCTCCCTCTGCGAGGGAAGACACGGATCCAAATAGGGGTTTACGAAAATAAGGGACCGATTCCCTTGTAATTAGGACCCCAATAGGGCACCCCAAATTTTCGGAACCCCCCGAATAGAATCTCTCTAATTTCGGGTTTTGCCTGCCCTATGCAAAGTTCATACGCGGCCCCTGTTGAGATCAAATGCTCGGCCTACAAGGGGATCGGTGTCTCAACGGCCCGGGCAAGGAAACATAAGGCCATGCCCAGTTATCTCACCATTTTCGTGTGGCGAGTGCCACCAGGGCGATGGCTTGAGGGGAAATTGAAACTGCGAGCGGCTGCAAACTGAGAGCCACCATGACACGGGATAACAAATTGCAGGCAGAAGTACTGCCTGCACAGGTGCTCTGAACAGACTCAAGCTGGTCTGTCAGGCATAGATGAAGGGCAGAAGGACCAAGGTGCAGATGATGAATTCCGCGCACACAGGCTTCAGCACCCTCTTCACGATCATGCCCTCGGGCACCTGCTCAAAAAACGCGCTGGTGACTTCTAGCTGAGGGCTTGTAGGCCAAAACCCTAAACCCTAAACCCTAAACCCCCGAAACCCTAAACCCTAAACCCTAAACTCTAAACCCCAAACCCTAAACCCTAAACCCTGAGACAGGAGGCTCCCCGAAGCCGCCCCCCAATCCTGCAGGCCGATGACCGCCGTGGCTGCGATGATGTTCGCAAGGCAGAAGGCATTCCTTGGGTGGGGGGGGAGGGCTGGGGTGACCACAGGAGATGGTGTTCGTGTTGGTGCGTATCGCGCCGTGGCTGATGGATGCCGAATCCGGCTTCGCATTCAGGAGGCTTGATTTGCAAGGCAGAATTCATGCGCGCACTACTAGCAACAACGAACCCCCTATTGTACACCCTAGGACGTTAACATAAGGGGGAACATCCCAACACGAATCCTTGAAGACGACCCTTTATTTGGGGCTTCGGGACCTCAGAGTTCCATACCCATACCCCCACCCCTCCTCCCCTTCTCTCGTGCCCAGGCTCCCACTGGATGCACCGCAAAGCTGGAGGCCTTTTGTTTAGGGCTTAGGGTTTAAGGTTTATCGTTTTAGGGTTGAGGACCGAAACGGGACATGCACCGTTGCAAGGCTTGCCCGACCTCAAGAACCCAAAGCCCAGTTTTTTAGGTTTCCGAAGAACCCCATAAAGGGTGTTTATACCAAGAACCTCATAAAGGGTTTTTTCAAGAAGCTACAGAACAAAAAAAGCCGGTTTTGGGGATTCTGAAGGTACTCTCAAACCCTAGCGGTCGTAGCAGTCAAAAAACGGCTCTTAGAAAGGCAACTCGGAAATCTAGGTACCGAAACCCCAGGGATCAGACTGTACGCCAAGCTCCCCAAAACCCGGAAGACAAACCCTCAGAGGCAAGGAAAGGGGGTGAAGGGGGCGAGGCACTCTGTGAAGGACAAGAGGGGGCCCCTCTCCTTTTGTGGTCAGATTGTGTGGGCATTTTCGGATTTAGGACCTTCGCGTTCTGATGTCGTCGACCTTCGTAGTCCCTACTTCGTCAAACGTGTTAACTCATAAACTGACCTATGAGGGTCTCGTGAGTCAGGGAAGAAGGAGATGAGGGCTTTGAGCGTTCGTTCTGGCTTCTCTTTGTTCTTTCTGCTGTTGCACTCGCTAGCGGCTATTGTAGCGCTCCCCTCCAGCTTCTGCCACTCAGCTCTCACGGACGAGCAGAGAGGACTGTCCACGAATCTAGCCCTGATCTCATCCCAGGTAGGTTTCCCAATGCCAATTTCCCGATTTCTGCAGGCAGAAGGCACCCGCCGACTGCACGATTGAGAGGGAAGGCACAGCGAAGCCGAAAAAAGGAAAAGAGAGGGCTCTGCCCTCTCTGCCCAAATGCCGTCCGAAAGGCCGATGAGTCCCGTTGGGGAGATGCCAAGGGTGTCCGCAGCGACCTGTTTGTCACACGGGGGGGCGGGGGGTTTCCGAAACTAGGGGCTCCGCAATAAGGGGTCTCCGTAATTTGGTGTACCTTATTGGGGTCCTTATTACAAGGAAACCCTACTATTTCGGGATCTTCATTCGGGCTTCCTTGTTCTCGTAAACCCCAGATAAGCCCGGCAGCTTCTTCTGAGCACTCCCCAGCTCATCATGTCGGAAGTCCGGCGACCACAAGGCGGGTCATGCGGGGACTTCGGGGGTTTCGGGTTTTTTTCGCTCCCGCATAGCTGGCCGAACCACCGGCAGGGTTGATTGTCGGTACGACTCCGAGTTGAAAGAAGAAACTCGATCGGTTTTCGGGTTGAGGGCTTAACCGCTCACGCTCGGACAAGCCAGGCGAGGTACATACGGTGCCATGGTCGTTAGGTGGGCCCCCTCAGCACATCTGGGCAGGGTCGGCATAGGTGCTACCGCTAACAAGGGTTTAGGGTTTAGGGTTTTGGGCAAAAACTGGCTGCTCATGGCTTGGATGGGGCAATGTCATGCCTCGACAGCCCAAGGCTGCCGTTCACGCCCCGCCTTCTGCACCTGGGTGAAGGTGAGGTTGCTGACCGTCGTGGAGCCCGAGAAGAAGGAGCCAAGGGCTCCGAGGGGGAACGATAGGGCCACGAACCTGAGGAGGGCAGCTGGCCTTAAGGGCTCAATAGCACTAATCACTACGAACTATGAAGCGTCTGGTGCGATGAGAAGCTTTGGGGAGAGTTTCCGTTCGGGCCTGCCGCCTCTGGCACAGTCCCCTAAACCCTAAACCCTAAACCCTAAACCCTAAACCCTAAACCCTAAACCCGAAACCCTAAACCCTAAACCCTAAACCCTAAACCCTAAACCCTAACCGGCATCTCACGCAACTGCGCCAGGCTCAAACATGGCACCCATGAGACAGCGTCTGGGACAGGCGGGTTCCGATGATTGCGGCAGGGGCGTCCTGACAAGAGCTGACAGCATCCCACTGGTAGCACATTGGGTCTCCCTCTCTTTCTCCCTCCTCCCTCTTCCGCTTTTTTTTGCCACCCGCCTAGCTGACACTCAGGCCACATTGCAAGGACCAATACCGGTAACACTACTTCTTCAGAAGGATGGGGCGCTTTTAAAGTTAGCGCAAAAAGGGGGATCAATATAGGGAAGTTGTAATAGCAAAGAACAACCAACAGCGTAAAACCCCCATAAAATACAAAGTATAGATAACCTTCCTTCCCCAATGATCCACAAGGAGAAAGTCACCCGACGTGTCAGTCATGACCTCTTTGCACCGCGGGTTTAGGGTTCAGGGTTTAGGGTTTCGGGTTTAGGGTTTCGGGTTTAGGGCTACTCCCCACTACTGCAATCCACGCTCTGTGGGGGAGGAGAGGGGGGAGCGGAGGGCCCACAGGTCCTTGAGCGCATCACCGGTCCGAAGCAATTCGACCAACACCAGAGCCCCGCTCCTGAAGGCTTCAAGATAAGGCTTTGGGGTTTAGGGTTTAGGGTTTAGGGTTGGGGATGTTCCCCCCTGAAATAACAGTCCTTCAAGGGGATTATAGTACCCCCCAAATACAATCCCGATTACGGGGCTGTTTGTACATATAAGGGGAGCATCCTAAATGATTGGCTTTTGCAAGACGCCCCACAGCCTGAAAGCCCCAACCCCCCTCAGGGTAGATCTCCAGGTTAGGTTGCCTTTTTGGGGGGGTTCCTTTTAAAAGTACACGGCACCTCAACCCTAAACCCTAAACCCTAAACCCAAAACCCTAAACCCCAAAAAAAAGGAACCGAGAGCGAGGGGCAAAGCGACGACAGGGCCCTTGATGCGCTGTGCCACGCCGGAAACGATGGTCCGCGGCGAGGTCTCGAGCTCCTGCGGGCACTGGGCTTCTTAGGGTTTAGGGTTTAGGGTTAGGGGTTTAGGGTTTAGGGTTTAGGGTTTAGGGTTTAGGGTTTTTTGCTACCCGTCTGGCACGCACTATGGGGGTTGCAGCCTAGGAGGAGAAGTCTTGTGACTTGAAAATTCGCGAGACCGTCGGGGTTATTGTGCCGCCTGCCTAGCAGCCTTGCAACCACACTGTCGGGATGCAATACAACAGCAGGTTTCTTGTTTGCCACCCGCCTAGCTAGCCTTTTCGGCCACTCCGCAAGGGACTGTCTGGCAATGGTGTGTCTGGAAAAACACTGCTCTAGTACAGCAGGGGTTTAGGGTTCAGGGAGGAGGCACGCTGTCAACATGTCGGCGCTCATTATGCGGCATTTTGCAGTGTTGGCAGGCCAGGGAGTTGTTCCATGCAGGTGGGTCTTGGTGTTGCCATGTTGGAGGGACAGTTGACATGTCGGTTATTATTATGGTTCTGCCCGTCAGCGCATGATTTTTGTAAGACACGACGCACCTTTCAACAGCAATGTCCCAAGAAAGACCTCTTTAAACCCTAAACCCTAAACCCTAAGCCCTAATTTAGCTCCAAGCCCCCACCTTGCGGAAGACGAGCAAAGAGGCACAGCCGGCCACCACAAAGGGCAGGAGGAAGGGGATGTAAAGCAGCCTTCGGTTTTGACATCTGCACGGGCTTAGGGTTTTTAGGGTTTTGAGGGTTTTGAGGGTTTTTAGGGTGTTTAGGGGTTTTAGGGCTTTTAGGGCTTTGAGGGGTTTTGAGGGTTTTTAAGGGCTTTTAGGGTTGTTGGGCCTGAGGGCTGCAGCCGAGCGACTCGTAAGTCCAGCCCAGATTCGTACCCAAGATCCTCGGAACGCATCCCGCGGCAAAGAGCAGGGTCTCCGTCGGGTGTGTAGCGAAATTTCGGGCGGTGGAGTTCGGGACACCCCTAAACCCTAAACCCTAAACCCGAAACCCGAAACCCTAAACCCTAAACCAAAAAGAAAGCACCGCTCTGCCCGGCCAAGGGTCTGTGTCAATGAGAACCGGCCGACTGCGGAGATGCGCAGGTGGCCTCATCTCACAACCGAATTTCGAAACGGAGGCTTTGGGTACGGTTTAGGGTTTAGGGTTTAGGATTTAGGGTTTAGGGTTTCAAAAGGGGTACCTTATTTGGGGGTCCTTATTCTAAGGGAACCCTACTATTTGGGGATCTTCCTTGAAGGGTCCCCTATTGTCGTAAGCCCCCAAATGGCATCTCGATGAATATGACGAACCCCATCTCCCACGAGGTGCTGCTTCAGTTCAGCTTAGGGTTTAGGGTTAGGGTTAGGGTTTAGGGTTCAGGGTTCAGGGTTCAGGGTTCAGGGTTCAGGGTTCAGGGTTCAGGGTTTAGGGTTTAGGGTTTAGGGTTTAGGGTTTAGGGTTTAGGGTCTAGGGTCTAGGGTCTAGGGTCTAGGGTTTAGGGTTTAGGGTTTTTGGTTTAGGGTTTAGGGTTTAGGGTGCGTCTATGCGAGGCAGACATGATGAGCGTTGACTGCGGGTCTCCTTTCTTGGGGTTTCCGAAAATAGGGGTACCTTCTTTGGGGGTGTATATTAGGGGTCCCTTATGTTCGTAAACTCCCACATGGCCAATAGCTTGCACCATGATCCTGACAGCCATAGCTGCTCGCAGCGAAGCGCTGGCAGTCAGCTTTTGGGATGCCCCCCACAGCGACAATGACAGTGCATTCACACTTCCAGGAATCCTGAACACTCCAACCCAAGCGCATGTAAAGGCCCTTCACTACAAGCCGCGCCCCCCCCCCCCCCCCCCCCCAAAGCCCTTAGCAAAAAAGAATCTGCACAGTGAAATCCGAGAGCTCAGCCAAGAGTGCCGAGGGAGCCATTTACAATCTCGGGCCTCGTGGCTGTAGGATGTTGTGGGTGTGCTTAGGGGGGTTCAAGCTTTGGGTGTTTTAGGGTTTTTGGGTTTAGGGTTTAGGGTTTGGGATTGAGGGTGCTTGCGTTGAGGCATCACCGGTGGAAGGGTTTGAGGAGGGTTTTGCTGTGCAGGGGTCTTCGGTGAGAAGGGTTGGAGGGCATAGGGCTCAGGGCCGGGAAGTCTAAGACTTCGGCATCCTCATCTATCCTCTACATCCGACCTGGCTCTAGACCTTTTGGCGCTAAATGTGAAAACTGAACTCCCTCGGGCAGCAAAGGCACTCGTCCTGACGCAGCAGGGACTTGAGGCCGATCGGTTCGATCCTTTCAGGGGCATCTTGCACACGTAAGAAAGACATGTGGGCGCAGGGTTTAGGGTTTGGGGTTTGGGGTAGCCGTCACCACTTACCACTATACACGTGCCCGTACAGCGGGAGTGCAGGCATACACCTGGCCTCGTCAAGATCAGGAGGACCACCGTAAGCCAAAGCGGCATCGTCCGGAACACACAATCGAACCTGCGAGGGTGTCTTTTAGAGCAAGCAAGGGGCTGTGGGTTGCTGCACAGGCCGTGGCCTGTGCCGCATTTCAAGGCATGGGAGTTCCCTTCTCCGGTGTTCAGGCTTGTGCCGTTTGGTGCATCCACAAAAATGAGCTTCTTGGATTCTCCCCCCAAAAACCCATCTTCTTTAAGGGCCCCTGCTCCTGCTGCTGCAACTGCTGTGCACATGAAGGTATAGCCCCCAGCATTGACGCAAACATCCCTCAGACCCTTAACTTGGTAGCTGAGTAGCCATGTTACAATTTATATGAAACACCTTGAACCCAAAAAAGGGCCAAAGGGTAGTCACTGGGCTAGGGCCAGTAAATCTGAGAATCTGAGAATATAAGGAGAGGAAACTCTGGGAACATACCAGGCTAAAACAAATCCTGCCCGAGCACACGGTCACGTCGGCATGAAAGCGCTCGGCGTGGTGATCGTCCACATGGACCGTCAACTCTCCCGGAGGGCCATCCTCGTCCTCGAGACAGGTTGAACAAAGCAAAAGCTGAGTGACTTTGTAGTAATACTGGGTATTACTAGGTATTCATACTGGGTATTATTAGGTATTCATTTTGGGCATTTGTAGGTATTCATATTGGGCGCTCTTAGGTATTCATATTGGGTACTCTTGGGTATTCATATTGAGCACTCTTGAGTATCCATATTGGGCACTCTTGGGTATTCATATTGGATGTTATTAGGTACGGTGCTCATGCTTGTTAAGGGTTCCGATTCGCCTTCGGTGTGGGCACGTGGTGCTAGGGCGTTTTGCAAGTCGATTCGACATCGCCAAGCTCAGGGGGATCCCTGGGATTTAGAGTTTAGGGATGAGGGTTCAGGGTTCCGGGGGCGGAGCAGAGACTCAGAGGAGTCCGTGAAACTTTGAAAGGGTCCTCCGTGATGGCCGCGTGAAGCTTGGCCGGCGCCACTGTGAGGTGCGCATGGTTGGACAAATACTTCATCGCCTGCCCCCACCCCCCCCCCCCCCGCACCCACCCCCGAGTTTGTACAGAAATGTGCTTTGACTACTCGGGGGATGGGTTTCTCTTGCCTGCGTTTCTGGGGAAACCCTAATGCTCCAATACCTGAAGCTGCATACCACGACAACCACAACACGGGGATCGAGCCAAGCCCAAAATGCAATGTGGAGCCTGGACAGGGCGATTCTCTCACCTCGGATCCCAGCTTCTCTAGGTAGACATGGGGGCCTACGAAAACAGGGGAGCCCCTAACATAGACCCTTAAATAGTATAGGATCCCCTTGTAAGAAGGACCTCCAATAAGGTACCCCGAATATCGCGCAAACCCCTAACCTGCCCGTGATCCTTCAGGAAGCTCCTCGGGCCTTCCTGCCGATGGTCAACGTGTTGTTCTTGGCCTTCTCCCGCAAACTCTTCTTCGAGTTCGTTCCCTGAAAGACAGCACACATGTCAAGGGTTGAGCTCCAAAGGCCATAAATGGGGTTTAGAGCTTCATGGGACTTTGCGCTGGGCAGCACTGCTGGCATCCCCTCTTGCAGAAGAGATGCTACATGTCTTTGCTTCAGTTCGCTGCAAAACATGTTCAGGTCATCTGTTGTCCAGTTCTTGCTGTACGCAGCACGATAGACACCCAGCAAGTTGGTCTGATGCAGCTGGAGGTGCGGGCAATGGAACCCTCGGTTTGGGCTGCTTGGGGGACAGGCAGCCCATTCTCAAGCGTCACAGCTCAACCCCCAGCCAAACCTGCAAGCACATGAACTCTCTCACAGGGATCTGCTTGTGGCAAGGCCATCCAGGCCCATCTGTTCCCCCAATTTCAATAGATCCTCGTTACAACGTTCGACTCTGGTCCATCCGTTCTGCTGGGTTACTTGGAGGTTCAGGGTACTTATTAGAAGTGTAGTTTTAACCCACTTAAGTACCCTAACAGGGCCATAACTGGGTAAGAGAAGTACAGTTATAATTACCCTAAACCCTAAACCCTAAACCCTAAAGCCTAAACCCTAAACCGTTATATTTGGGTTACTAAGTACCCTGAACCTCCACGCAATCTCCCCCCCCACCCTCATGCCCTAAACCCTAAACCCTAAACCCTAAGCCCTAAACCCTAAACCCTAAACCCTAACCCAAAACCCTAAACCCTAAACCCCCCACCCTCATGCTCGCGGCTGGAGCCTTCGGCTGGCCCGCTTCGTCCTCCTCGGCCACGGGAACCTTGATGGTCCTCGGTGGTGCGTGAGGGTTTAGGGTTTCGCCTTGGTACACTTCTCGATTTGTGCGTTTAGGGTTTAGGGTTTAGGGTTTGGGGTTTAGGGTTTGGGGTTTGGGGTTTGGGTTTGGGGTCTCTAGCGATGGTTCAGGCGGTCAGGGCCAGACGTCACATGGACTCTCGGCTGTCCCAACAAGCAACTTTTTGAAGAGTGCAAATGTGCCTGCAATGTTCCCCTGCGTGCCGCAACCATATGGGGGCTTCCGAAATTAGAGCTACCTTATTGGTAGGGTCCATACTCTCAGGGAATCCTACTATTTTCGGGGGTCCCTTATTTTCGTAAACCCCCATATGACCCAGAACTTCTCCAAACTTCCAGCGCTTCACACGCCTCCAAACGCTTCATACGCTTCCCACACCAAGACTCTCAAGCAAACAGCCCAGCGGTCATGACTCCGCGGGCTGCAAGATGCGAAACCCGAAACCCGAAACCCGAACCCTAAACCCTAGCATTCTTTGGGTCCTTTGGTGCTCTTTTTCTTTTTGTTGTCGCGGTTTGTTGTGCTTCGGGAAGTGTTGACTCTAGGGTTCGATGTTTGCACTTGGAGGTTCAGGATACTTAGTAACCCAAGCATAGCTGTACGTATAACCCACTTAGCCCCTTAAACTTAAAGTACACTAATAGGGTTACAATTGGGTGATAAGTACAGTTATAGTTACCCTAAACTCTAATGCCTTTGCTGAACAGCAGCCTGTCGTCCGGCTTCAAAGGGTTAGATGTTCCCCATCGTCTGGGTTTAGGGTTTAGGGCCTAGTTTAGGGTTCAGGGTCTAGGGTTTTTAGGGCTTAAATGTTAGATGTTGAAAGCCCTGTAAATTCTAAGCCGGCTGGCCCCGAGATGAAGCGCACGCCGGCTGCTGGTGCTTCCAAGTCGACCAGGTCCTTCAATTGCGTGCCGTTCAAGTCCGTGTCGGGGCTGAGGGTGGAGGGCTTCTAGGGGTTTAGGGCCTTTTCTGGCTGTTCAGGTTTATAATTAAGTATTCCAGATGAGGGGTCTCACGCGGCGGAGCTTTCACTTGCGATTCATTTGCCTCTGCATGAAAATGGCTGTATGATTGAGCTTGGCAGTTGAAGGCGGAGTGAACCGGTGTGCCCTTGCGAAATTGGGGGCCGAAATCCCTGTCGGGGGGTCCCAGTCCTTCATCCCCTTGCAGAAACCTCTAAAAGTTCGGACTGCGAGGAGCTTGCTCTCAGCGTTTTAGGGTTGAAGCGACGAGCTACGAAGCAAAAATGACACAAGGACTGACAATGGCTCAATGGCTGAGAGGGTGACCCAAGCGAACCGCAAAGAGAAGCAAGGGTCACACACGAATCTCGACCCATCCCTGCCAGCGACTTGAATTCAATTGCTTGGCGCCTTCAGTGTGTTCTCTTGCTCCAGTGTCCTCTCCTGCGCACGTGGAAAACGAAGCTGTGCCAGTCCAACAAGAACATACAAGAAATATAAACTTGCATGACCAGCCCTCTCCGACGCCACAGCGACTCCCTTTTCGTTGAAGCTGGACTTGCTGACTGCCAGACACACGCACCCACCTGCCTTGTTGGCGAGGAGGTGTTGCGACTTCCCTAAACCCTAACCGTAGACCAGTTTCTTTGAGACCGCAAAAGCACGGCACTCCAGACAAAGACAAGTCATCTCGTGCTGCAACGCCCTCGCAACCCCCCCAAAACCCCAAACACAAACCCTAAACCCCAAACCCTAAACCCCAAAACCATAAACCCCAAACCCTAAACCCCAAAACCCTAAAAACCCTAAGGGGACCCGTCTCCTGGGCTACCGGCTCCTCTAGCACAGGCTCGACGCAGTCAGCCTCCGTCGGTGCGTCCTTCATGGTTTCAGTGCGTTTAGGGCTTAGGGCTTAGGGTTTTGGGGGGTTGGGGTTCAGGGGTTTGGGGGGTTGGGGTTTAGGGGTTTGGGGTTTGGGGTTTATAGGGTTTAGGGTTTATAGGGTATAGGGTTTGGGGTTTGGGGTTTGGGGTTTGGGGTTCGGTTGGAGGATCTAGGGGGGGGAATTTGCAGGTTGGAGGAAGGTGCTTCCGTCTCGAATCATGAACTGAGGGCACTCAGCAATAGCTCTGCCATAGGCATAGTAGCACGGTTTTCACTCCTCCTTGACAAGAGCGCCATAAGAATGCTTCAGGGACAATGTCAGCAAAAGCAAGTGACACCCAATAGCCAGGCATAGTTGAGTTTTTCCTGTGCCCAAGTAACCACTCAGGGTTCTTCCAAAAGCAGTACTCTCAGGGAGGGCTCTAAGACTGCAGGAAAGTGTTCAAAAAGAGTTGGGCAGTGTTCAGACGTCTGGGGTGCGTCCGAAGGCAACCTCCGGAAAGTCTGAGTCTTCACCTCACAACATGGAGACCTACACCCGCCAGCCCTGAACCCTAACCCTGAACCCTGAACCCTGAACCCTAAACCGCAAACCTCTCTGCCTACACCCCAAGCCCTACCAAAGCCCAGAAAGCCAAGAAGCCGCCAGCTCAAAGCTGGGGAAGGAACCGCACTTATAACTGCCCAGCATGGCCGCCCTAGAGCTATGAAAACTCTTATGGGGCCACTAGCTCGCGGTGGACATACGGTGAACTACAAGCCCTGGCGGCTTTCTTTTCGGATAGCCCAGAAGACTACCACAAGACGCCTCATCTCCCAAGACTGGAGTCCCCCAAGTCACTAAGCCTAGTGAAGGGGGGTTTTGGAAGGGCTTAAGGCTTACCTTCCCATGAGAGGCCTGCGTCTTTGCAGCCTGGTGATGGCTGTGAGGACCGAGGCCTATACCTGACATGACCGCTCAGTTATGGTAAGATTTTGGGATGCTCCCTTATACTAAGAGTCCTTAATAGGGATTATCATGGGGGTACTATAGTCCCTATTAAGGACTGTTACAGTAGTATAAGAGGGAACATCCCAAGTAGGATTGTTGGACCCGGCCCGCGTTACTCCGGTAAGGATATGCTTTGGTGACGGGCGCTCCGGTTCCAACACGCATGTCAAGAACGAAGCCTTCTTAACAACTCACGCATGCATTGTTTCACGGGCCTCAATCGGCCTGAACGTAGTTTGAAGACGAATGAGAGAAGCTGGACGTTCCACCAGCTTATACAGTCTCTAGAATCTAGAAACCCAAATACCCTAGACAGCACCCGTCAGGTCCCTTATGAGGGTCCCTCCTTTAGTCCCTTGGCAGAGTGCTGACCCCAATATGTCCCACGTCCACATCTTCCCACCCGTCCCGAGGGGCACCTCGAAGTGTGAGGGCCGTGGTGATGCACAGGCCCACGATTCCGGCAGCCAAGCTCGGAAACTCGTAGTTGAACATGGCCCTGACAGGGATGCTGCGGTTTTTGGGAGCTTCCTCCTGGAAGCCCCTATAAACCCTCAGCCCTAAAAAGCCTGCTCTGAATACAAGGGTGCTTCGAATTGCAGCCTGGGGGCAAGACGATGAATGGCACAACCACGCTTGCGGTGCTCAGCACTACGTACAACCTCGGCTGTACACTGGCCCCACGGTTGTATTGCCACCCTGCCATGTCTGTCAGACTGCCCCGGGATCCAGCAACAACCGCATCAAAGCAAATAAAGCGCGGACGCAGGACCCAGGCAAGGTCTTCTCACAAGAAAACAGAGGCTCAGGAAGCAGCTGGCTATGGATGACTTCTGAAGTTTGAAAGGAACCATTGGGGGGGGGGGGGGGGGGGGGGGGGGGGGGGCAACTTCTTGCTTTCCGCGGAGGGTGCGCGATCCTCGGAAGTCCTTCCTAGCTGATTGTGTCTTCGTGAGCCAAGCATGACATCCACGACCGCCGGGGCTGTTTTGTTTAGCGGTTGAAAACCCTAGCCCAAAAAGGTTAACCCTTGTACTAGATGGTGTTCAAGGTCAATTACCTACCCAGTCGGTGAGTGGTGTTTCCTGTCTGGTTGAAGGCATCTTCGTGTCCCAGGCTTTTGTCCCCCCAGGCATAGTCTTTTGCCAAGGACCCGCTTCGTGGACGTGAGCAGCCAGCTATCCACTTTCCCCGGCTTGGGCGGCACAGGTCTTTCATGTAATTCTTACACGTCTTAAATTACACTTTGTCAAGCTCGCAGCGGCGATAAAACGCTTGTGCTTCTTACCCCGGGTTTCAGCTAGCTCCCACGCCTGTGCAGGGGTGCCCAGCATCGGCGATCGGTGAAATCTGCACGCCATCAAGATCTGCAATCGACCCTTCAGTTCCGCTGGCTCTGTTGCAAGATTCTGACTGGTAGCAAACTTGGACATCCCTCAAAATTCCGTCAACCGATTCTTCTAATTATTCTCTTCAATGAATCCCATCCCGACGACACAGAACAACGGCCCAGAAGCAAGCTCGGGCGCAGCTCCGACCAGGGCACAATGATCTGGACGACGTAGGGGACCTAGCCGGGGCTTCGGCAGTTGTGTTTTGTCAAGGGGCTAAAGGAGGGATCCTTATAAGGGATCCTTCAATCTATAGGGACTACATAACGTATGTATATATGGTTCCAGGGGTGAACCCGGCCCCTGCGTTTTAGTATTTTACGTAAGTACACGAAACGAAACCACGCGTTTCGATGTGTTCATGGCTGCGGATAGAGACAAGCAGAGTATATATGTGGTCTTTATTGAATACTTCAGACATCTTTGTTTCATCGTTATGTAAGTAGAACCGCGTCTATTTCCATTCTTGTGCATTTTTAAGCTTGCTTATGCAAATTGTGCTTTTCAGACATAGTATATAAGTGGTCTTTATTGAATACTTCAGCAATCTTTGTTTCATTGTTATGTAGGTAGAACCGCTTCCATTTCCGTTAGTGTTTCTTTCGTATTTGGTTGAGTATGGTCCTTTAAATAGTATTCACTTGAGTCAAATTGGGCTATTTGCTTAAGAATTCCTCTAGTAGTTAAATTCGCATAGAATGAATACTTCAACAATATAAAATGTTTCATGAATATGTAAACATAAGGTATTTCATTTGACTTTGCAGATAGTATTTCAATAATACTTTGCCTGGTGTAAACCCAGCCGTTTCAATGCATTAGTTGCTCAACAAAGCACTATTTGCCCTTTAAACCACACTTTGCAATATTTTGGTTGAATATGGTGCTTTCGTATTTTGGTTGAGTATGGTCCTGTAAATGGTATTCACTTCAGTCAAATTGAGGTATTTGCTTAATAATTACTCTAGTAGCTAAATTCGCATAAAATAATTCTTTCAAAAATACAAACGATTCATGAATATGTAAACATAAAGTATTTCAGTGGACTTTTCAGAGAGCATACTTTGCCTAGTACAAACACAATTGTATGAATACAGTAGTTGCTCAACAAAGCATTATTTGCACTTTAAACGCACACTTTGCCATATTTTGGTTGAGAATGGTGTCTATTCGTATCTTGGTTGAGTATGCTCCTTTAAATAGTATTCACTTGAGTCAAATTGGGCTCTTTGCTTAATAATTACTCTAGTAGTTAAATTCGCATAGAATCAAGAAAGATGTTTCAGTGTTTGATTAATACTTTGCCTCGTACAAACACAATTGTATAAATAAACTAGTTGCTCAACAAAACATTAGTTGCCCTTTAAACGCACAATTTGCATAGAAAAAAACACAGATCTAATCATCTAAACCAGCATTGTCCGCTTCAGATTCAAAAGGTAGATTATTCCAATGCTGGCTTATTGGAGTCTGTGAGGTGGGTGTCCCAGTACTGTCCTTCATTACCCGGTGATGAACTACGCGACTTTTGGGCCTTCTTCGTTGTTTTTTGTTAAAAAAGCCTAAAAAGGCTTAAAAAGGGTAGGTCGCTGGGGGGGGGAGGGGGTAGCTATATGGTACCCCCCCCCCAGTGACCTACCCTTTTTCGCCTTGTCTCAAGTCACCCAGCTGCACTGCAAGCAAACTCGGTGTGCAATATAGCGTATTTCCTAGGGCGTAGACTAAAATACAACTAAATCTGCATACACGGGACAGTAGAAAAACCAAAAAAACCAAAACCAAAAAACCAAAAAAACCAAAACCAAAAAAACCAAAAAAAAACAAAACCAAAAAAACCAAAAAAAACAAAACCAAAAAAACTAAAAAAACCATTTCCTAGGAACTCTTACAGGGAGACTTCCTGAATAATGGTTTTTTTGGTTTTTTTGGTTTTTTTGGTTTTGGTTTTTTTGGTTTTTGTGGTTTTGGTTTCTTGGGTATTTTTGTGGACAGCACCACAACACTGAAATAGCAAATAAACCCTTCGCCCCTGGAGCGTGTCGACATGCACGAGGGACGCGACGTCGCGTGCAGAATAAAAGTGCCAAAACGCAGGGGCCGGGTTCACCCCTGGAGCCGTATATATATATATATAGGGGCTATATAGGGGGACAAGATTAAGGGTTCCTTGTCGGGGTCCCTCCTTATACCCCTTAAGTCTCGCGTTCTGGGTGTGCATTTCTCAGGGCCCCAAACCCTCCTAGGCCCAGAATCAGGGCCCAGGAACCAGGATGATCGCGGAGGCGCTCATAGCGATCGACGCCCGGAATCCCACCGCCATCAAGTTCTCATCTCCAAAATCGGGCAAGACCTGTCAGGATCCCTAAACCCTAAACCCTAAACCCTAAACCCTAAACCCTAAACCCTAAAGTGCCCTAAAGGTTGCCTAAAGCGACTAAAGGCCGCTAGGCTTTCCCCTGTGCAAGATATGTAGGTCATGGGAGCCTCCCCAATCCCGAACCACACAGGTGTGCCGACTGCCCCGAAGATGGTCATGAAGGTATTGAAGGTCAGCAGGCACACAACGCACTCCTCAGCACGGGGGAAGGCTGCCTTTGCTTCAGCCTTTGACACAGCCATAGCTGAAGCTCATAAGGCCCATGCTCCGCTCGCACAAGTCAACGCCCCCTTGCAAACCCAAGATCAACAAATCTCCAGCCACCCTTCGGGGGCTGAATACCCTAGCCCAAAAAAGGTTCCACCTTTTTGTAAATAGAAGGATTCTATTGAATACCCCAGAAAGGTTCAAGGTTGCCTACCCAGCCCCTAAGCACCACTCTCTCAACGGTGAAGCCTACAAAACCCTAAACCCTAAACCCTAAACCCTAAACCCTAAACCCTAAACCCTAAACCCTAAACCCTAAACCCTAAACCCTAGCCGTAAACCCGAAACCCTAAACCCTAAACGCCAAAGTCGTCCAGTGCGGGGCTCCATCTTCGGGTGCCCCATGGAGTACAGCATCGGCGCCGCAAGGGCGGCCGGCGTACCAAACCCAGAGGCGCCCTCCACCTTGGGTTTGGGGGTTTTCGGTTTGGGGTTTAGGGTTTGGGGTTTGGGTTTTTTTTTTCACTCCTGGGTTTGGGGTTTAGGGTTGAGGGTTTAGGGTTTGGGGTTTGGGGATTTGGGGTTTAGGGTTTAATCGCTCACACTCGGACAAGCCAGGCGAGGCACACACTGTTCCAGAGTCCTGATAGGGGCCCCTCAGCAGTTTAGGGTTTAGGGTTTAGGGTTTAAGGTTTGGGGTTTAGGGTTTGGGGTTTGGGGTTTGGGGTTTGGGGTTTGGCAAAAGCTGGTGTCGAGGGCTTGGAAGGCTTCAGTCTGATGGTATCTGATGGTACCTGGGCAAAGCTCCCTTCAGCGCGAGACTCAAAGTCATCTCCACGCCACAAAACCCTGTGGGGGTGTACGAAAACAGGGGACCCCCAAAATGGACCCCCCAAATAGCAGGATCCCCTTGTAATAGGCACCTCAATAGGATAACCCTAAAAAATCGTAAACCCCCCTGTCAAGTCGGCCCTTGAACATTGAGTCACTTGCGGAGCTAAATGAGCCAGCGCCAAGCCAAAACTGGGTGGCGCGGTACGGAAGATGGTGTCGATCATGCCTTTCCCAGAGACGACCAACGAACCCATCAACCCTAAACCCTAAACCCTTCAACCCTTAAACCCTAAAGCCTAAAGCCTAAAGCCTAAACCCTAAAGCCTAAACCCTAAAGCCTAAACCCAGACCACCCCCACCCCCCCGCCGCTCTCCGGCACATGCTGGAGTTAGGATCCGCACCACAAAGGCGAAGCAGAAGCCGATGAGCATCACTTCTGCCACGGGGTGGCTATCGGTGATGACCCGCAGCTGCACCTTAAAACCAGCAAAAAGCCCTAAACCCCAAACCCCAAACCCTAAACCCCAAACCCTAAACCCTAAACCCTAAACCCTATGCACATCATGCCTTGACAGCCTTCCTGGCATGAGGCACCCAGACCTAAACTGGTCGAGCCTAGGTGGAGCCCAATTCTCCCGATTGATTGTATATGAGGATGTTCCCCCTTAAGCTAACAGTTAGTAGGGATGATAGTACCTCTTCTAATCCCTATTTAGGGATGATAGTACCTCTTCTAATCCCTATTCAGGACTGTTAGTATAAGGGGGAACATCCCAATATGTGAGTTGCCTACTTCGGGCGCCTTCATCCAGGCCAGGCAATGCGCGGACTCCATGCAGTCGAATAGAAAGATGGCTCCTGGCGACCGTGTCCGACATGAACGGCGTGCGCGTCTCGGAACATGGTAACATTGGCGGCAGCCCCTCGCCCCCTCCTGCCACGATGCTGCAAGGCGTTAAAGCCTGAAGGCAGCCTTTGATGAAGCAGGCGCAAGCCTTCAAGACATGATTCGGCTGGCAACGCGCATCGATTTGGGATTGGATTTCTCAATATTTTGAGGTGAGTCTCTCTCCCGCAAGGGTTCATGTGATGAACGAGCTTACGAGCAACACGCCCAACTAGCAGATGACATCGCAACAAGCACCTGCGCGACCACCCTGCAGCCCATTCTTTGTTCGCCCATGGAACCCGAAACGCGTTTTTTCTCGCGCTTCACGTGCCTCTAGGGGAGCTGCTTGAAGATACCAAAGCTTGAGGACAAAGAGTATGACAGCAGCAAACCAAAGGCTCCTCAGGCTCTGGGCAGCAGATGGCAAAAGCTAGCAAAAGCTAGCCGATACTCCCCTCTAAGAACCTTAACAACAACAATATCTTTAACCTTGGGTCATATAGAAAGAAATACTATAGTTCCTAAGGGGGCTATAGTAGCAACGATGAGGAAAACAAAGGAGGCAGAGGGGGAGGCCGAGTGTTTGAGTGAGTGCGTGAGCCGGTCGAGGTTTATAGTGTTTGGGGGTTTAGGGGTTTAGGGGTTTAAGGGTTTAAGGGGTTTAAGGGGTTTAGGGGTTTAGGGGTTTAGGGGTTTAGGGGTTTAGGGGTTTAGGGGTTTAGGGGTTTAGGGGTTTAGGGGTTTAGGGGTTTAGGGGTTTAGAAGGAAAGACTTGCTGCACTAGATTAGATTTGGTGACTTGACCTAGATGTCGAGCTAGTTGCATCACCTGTCATTGTGTAAGTCCACCTCTTGACTACTATTTGCTTAAGAACCCCTTGAAAGAATGAAAAATAACAATCCCTATATTACCCTTACTAAGGAAGAACATATTTCATTTTTTCAGTAGTTGATCTTCAGGTCTGAGCATGACCTAAAGCTGCCTGGGCTCTTTGCTGTCGGCATGGGCTTCGGCTTCAAGACCATGGCCACCAAGAAGGCAATTGGCAGCAACCTTGCAACAAGCGGGTGCAGATGCATCTGCAACAGCATAACAATTTATTGAAACATATTGGTAGAGTCATGTACTCATAAAACCATCTAGTAACATGCAACATAATATAAGAAGAGTCATGTTCACTACAGCTTCAAGTTGTCAAGGCGAGCAACAATACGAGGGCATCCCAAAAGCCCCACGGCCCCAGGCGCGTCATGGCGAGAACTCCAGACTCTCTCTGTTGGAGTGGGGCAAGGTGATGGCTCAACCATCAAATTTGCAGAGCTGCGGGCGCAGGCAGCCAATTCTCAAGCAATGGTTGCTTGCACACGCAGCTGTGCTAAAAACACCCCTGGAGAAAGATCGTGCCCATAAGAGATGTTGCCTACAAGACAATGCGTATGCGCAGCCGCTATTCAGGTTGTTGAGGTCAGTCCAATGTCAAGATAAACGGTTAGAATCGCTTGCGGAACAAATTGCAAGGTCCTTATCCGTGTCAGAAAAACAAGTCCAAAGACACAGATCCAAGACGCAGAACAGCATCGTGATAGATTTCAGGCAAAGCCTAGAATATATGATGGAAAGTAAAGTCTCATTCGGCATCAGATCGGGCAAACGCAAAGGTACACGAACATGATCATACCTTGTTCTCGTTCCGTATGTCGTCATTCGCACGTGATTGTTTTTTGACGCTTACTTTTGCAGTTGCATCGGGAGCGGGTTCTTGAACAATGGGTCGCATCTCGTACTCCACAATTTCCCTCAATCATAACATTCGGCTAGCCCTCCCGAGAAATAACCAGCCGCGCCATGCTTGAAAGGACATCCTAGGCTGCAGCACTGAGACAAGCCCAGACAATCTCCGAGATCAATAGCGGAGAAAGATACAGAGATGATCGCATCATGGTTCAGGGCATCGACCGTCGTCGCAATGCATGATGAACCTACGCTGCAGCACACTGTGAATCGAACTTATGGAGAAAAAACTCTTGATGCAATCCTGCCTGATAATCCTAGAAACAACTGCACTGTCCTTTTTGCAAGCCTCAATAGCGCTGGTCTAGCCACTGGCTTGCCACCAGCCTCGCCTGGCCAGGGCACATGACGAGGTATGATGGCAAGCCCTTGTTGGAGAAGCTGCGTTGAGCATCGCAGGAGGCCGGCAGGGCGGCCAGAAGGGGGGGCTGGATATAGCTCGAGGCGGAAGGCAGAGCAAGCACCGGCAGCGCTGCAACCGCCTTTGAGGCGAGTGGCTTCAAGAGCAAGAGTGCACAAGCGGCGTTTCTGTGTGAGCCGTGTCTCTGTGTAACATTACATCTTGTGGCCCACAGCACCGCGATCTCCTAGCACCTGAGCTGCGCTCCAGCGTTCAGCCTGGGCAGCCGGCCGGGCCTGCAAGTGCCTGCAACTGTAAGGTCCACAAGGCCAAGAGCATCCCTCGCCCGACAGAAAGGGATCCAAGGCCTCTGCAGGCTACAACGCTGGCAACGGTAGGGCAAGCTGCGAACATGCGCCTAGGGCACAGTGGCCTTGGATGTCGCATTTTGATCTCCACGTTGCTTGCGCGAATGCTTCTGGAAGCTTGGCCTCGGCACTTGCATGCCGCGTCCTGAACCTTGTCGATGGCACGCGATGCGATCTGGCCATCGTTTGCCGGCTGACGGAACATCGCACCAAACCGGGCTGCTCTGTCTCGAACCACTGGAACAGCAGCGCGCGCAGCAATAAAACAACCAAGGCACGCAGAGCTGAGGCTTCGTGGCGCAGTCTCTCTGGAACGGAGCGCCACTTGACCCAAATCGTTTTCGGTGGTGCGCAGCGGCACGAACCGTTTCCACCTTCTCTCCTGTGTAGGCATCAGGAGCTGTCGTCCGGTGAGGTGGTGCTGTCGGTGAGGTGTGACATGCTTCTCGCGAGCATGACCGAAAACCTCTTGAAAGCGCTCTGCTTCCTCAGACAGCCAACCGACCGAGGTCACCTAAGCTGGAGCCTATACATAGGCACGCGCGAAGTGGGGCGGTGCGGCAAAGGGCATCCGGAAACCACAGCTGGTTTTTGTTTCGATGCCGAGACCTTTTCATCGCGCTGGACGGTGCACGGATGTGGCATGGCGAAGTACCATTGCGCATGGGAAGCGGAACCTCTGTGACACAGCCAGCGTGCTGACCAGGCAGCCTACCTTAGCCTGGGGCAAGTTCCTGGGCTTCAGGGTCTCCCCTTGCGGCCCTTGCGGGTTGACTTCATTGAGCCAAGGCAAGCGTGCAAAGCAGCCGGCGTAGATCGTGCGATACGAGGTGCACGAAAACCGGCGTGGGCTTCTCGGCCACGGCTTCAACTGAACCCCCCTCAAGCCATTAACGCACCAACATCCGCTTGGGTCCGATACACCACGGCAGAAGCATGCCTGAGAGCCCCAATGGCAATCTAAGCCCTATATGGCTTGAAGGCAAGCTGCTCGCCACGGGCAGGTACACCAGTTTCCACTCTCACTACCAGTTGAAGTAGTGCCGTCTCCGCCACATGTCTCTCTCTTCAGAACTTCAAGCAACACCTCATGTTGTGTCTGCTCTGCGAGGTCCCTTCAAGACCCATCGCGGACTCTTTCCGGAAACTCCGGAGCTTGCGCGGCACGTGAGGGGCTGGAGCTTACGCGGCGCATGGTCTTGGCATGCTAGCTTGCGCGAGCTTACGCGGAAACTGCCAAGGTCCTGAAGCTTAGCTGGCAGCTGGCGTGAGTTTGCACGAAACGTGGCCAAACGCCCTTTGCTTTTGCGGACCATGCTTCTTGAAGCCTGTTGGATGTTTCCTTTTTTGCCCAGTTTTTACGCGACCTCATGTTGTGACTTAGGCCAGGCATGCGCAAAGCAGAAAACACGGGCGCCTCCGAGCCCTCTCAGCTGGGCCACCGCAGGCAGCGCCTGTAGCACCTGCAGCGCAAGCGCGGAGAGCACATGAGATTGCGGGGCGAAGCTCCTGCGACTCCTGCAAGATCTGGAAGCCTCTGGAAGCCCGCACGGAGGCTAGCGCGGCGGGCCGCGCCGCAAGACCACCCGTGAATCCCAAAGTGGCGAACCACTCGGCAGCTTTCGAAAGTGTTTTTGCAAGCACCTTTGCGAACGATTGCGTGAGCTGCACACGAGGCGAAACAGTGTGGCGACCCGGCACGTGCAAGCTGCCCAAGTCACACGTGGAGTCAGCCGCTGCTCGCAGGCCACAGGAAAGGTGCGGCAGGGACGCATTACACCTCTCCACAATCTGCTGGCCCTGCGGGCTGCGCAGCGTGAGGCCTTCCACAAAGCTGAGGAAGACATGCCGAAACACTGCCTAAGCCAAGCCGAGCGACTGCTGCGAAAACTTGCGTGTGTCCCACGCTGTGGACTCGGTGGCCGACACTCCAACACCACACCGAACACATCAAACACACCCAGCAATGCCGAGAACCTGCTCACACTCTGCTCACCCTGCGAGCCGAGGCGAGATGCCGAGGCCTGGCACACTGTCGTGTGGCACGCCGGCGCCAAGGTGCGAGGAGGATCGCAGGGGCCTGGCCTGCTGTGCTGATGGAAGAACTTGTGAAAATCCTTGGAACCTTCGCCGGCTTTTGGAGAAAACAGTTCAATAAGACATTCAACTCTGACAGCACCTGCGTGCTGCGATGGGGGATGATGCAGCGATTAGGCTCTTCAGCATCAGCTTGGCTCGGCCGGGGGAATGGCCGGGTCGCCAGGCCCGTGGATCAGCAAAGGGACACGTCGATCTGCGGCAGCTGTCCTGCCGCAGAATGGACGAGCCGAGTGTCGCCTGCGGGATAATGCCAAAATGCGCAGGAACAAGCGCGGAGAAGCGCAGGTGCTTGGGAGATTCTGCTTTCGGGCATTTTGGGTCGGAGATGTCGCATGGTAAGAGATTCTCTGGTATGGTCTACACAGCATCCAGGAAAGCGGGAGGCTTCTTGCCCGAGCTCCACGGCAAGAGGCTGAGACACAAAGATTCCACCAAACTCCCCGGCCCGGTTGCACGCGGCCCCGAAGTCCACAAAGCCTGCCAGCAGCACGATCATTCCGATTAGTGGCGCGTCGAGGTAATGCCAAGGCTTCGTTTGGTGATGGTGGCACTTAGCTATCGCCATGGCCAGTGCGCGTGAAGTGTCGAATCTCTGCGGAGGGGGCTGTTAAGTCGCAAGCATGCTCACGTCGCCCTTGCCAGGCATGACAACATGGTCATGGTGAGGGCATCTTGCGGAATCTCACGTGCGACACACGTCGGAGTCGCACAGCAGGTCGAGCTTGCAATCCCCGGCGTTGGCGGCATCGGCAGAACCCCCTAGGCCCCGTAGCCTCGGCTGATGACTTCTCCTGGCGTGGGAGCCATGGCTGGTGGGCCAGCTTGGCATTTGCGTCGGAGGTCGGCAACGTCCCCGCAAAGTATCCGCATATTTCTGTATCCAAACTGAGCCCTATGGTTGACGTAGGAAGAAGGCTTTGACAGATTGAGTTGCAGTAGAACGAACGCAAACCGTGCGAACAAGCCTTGCCCCAATGCGCAAGGCATTCTGCGCCAGAAGCCGGAGATGTGGCTGGCAACAAAAGGCGCATCAGCCCCACCGAACAACACAAGAACGTGCAGCTGCAGGTCCTACCGCTGCTGATACGATGTAGGTTCAGGCAGGGTAATCTTGCAGATCTTGCAGAATAACAGAGTCCTGAACCACAAAAGCATCCTAACCTTGCTTCTGTGCCAACAGCAACGAACAAACAATCACGCTGCGTATGAGCGAGATGCCTGCTTATGATCACACACATGAGTCTGACAGCTGTGATGAAACTGCAGGTGAAACCGATAGAGTACCGAAGGAGCGGCAGAAGGCAGGGAGCGTGGCATCGTCGTCGGCGACGTCGCTGTAGATCCACCAAGCCTGAGCCCTCGAGCACTTATCCCAGAAACACAGGTCTTCAATCTAGAGTCAGTGGAACAGGAGGCTAGCGGCTAGCGGCTAGCGTGGCACAGAGCCGTCGAGCGACGGGATCTGGCTTGGCAGAAGTAGTATCGAAGTATCCGAAGCATCAAGAGTATCGACTGCGACCAGGGAAGTTCTAGCCGACGATGAGACTGATCCCAACGACGTGCGCAGACCTAGCATGGGCACCGACCGATTGAAGCGAGAAGCACAGAGGTCGCAGGACAAGTACGACAAGTCCCACGTAACTTTGGCACAAGCCTCAATCTCTTCAGGCTCTCGTGGGGAGGTTGCCAAGCTTGCCACAACCAAACAGCAGTCCCCCAGTCATCGGGGCGAGTGGTCTGCAATCGTGTGCAAGTGTAGCAGCCGGCCTCTGGCCTGTTAGAGCCGGACAATGCGGACTCGGTGTGTGCCAAGTGCACGAAGCCACCTTGCTTTTTGCAGCCGGACGTCGACGAGTCGGCGGGAAGCCAGGGCCAAAGTCGACTGCTGGTGTAGCAGGCCGCCCAAAGCTGCCCACGTCACAGAACATCGCAAGCAGGGTGACTCGATGCTACGAGAGTAGGCTCGCGGGCATGAACATGGCATGAACCATCCCACGCGGCCTGCATCGCCCATAGGGCCATAGGAACACCAAAGCCATGGGCTTGCACAAGGCGCTTTTTCAGGGTTGCGCCGGATGGCCTCTGCAAGCTTGCATGGGTTGGCATTGTTGGCTCTGAATCTCAAGGGAGGGCGCGAGTGCACTTGACCAGAGGCATTCTCAGGTCAAGTGGCGCCAGGAAGGCCAGAAGCTGCTGCACTTGGTGCATCCTAGGAGACACGCGTGGTGCTCGGGCTTGGACAGCTCCAAACGCTTCGACACGCTTCAACATGCTTCAGTGCTTCAAGAACTCTGAACTAGCGCACCCCGAAGATTAATGGACATCCGCCATACCGCCGATTCTCGTCGCAACCGGGATGAAAGGGTGATGAGCAACCCTACCACGACAGCATCTCCGAACCTCGATAGCAAATCCGAAGATTAATGGACAACCGTTCCCAGCTTCTGCCGTATCAAATCTGCCCGCCAGGTCATTGATCATGGATCATGTCTTCAAGCTGCCCGGCACCCTGACAAGCTTCAGGGGCAGGCGGGTGTTGCGAATCCTTCCCATTCTTGGGTGGACCACTGCAAGGCTTGTGACGAGCTGAAGGAGCACACCCAGCTCTCTTACCCTGTTTGTGTGTCCGGCTCGGCTGGAACCAGACGGAACATAGAAGCTGCGGGCTCCATGCAGGCGCTCAGGCTCGCCTTATCAGCATGCATGGTGCATGAAGCTGCACTCAGGCCATGTATTCCGCTCACTCTGGCACAAGCCTCATCTGGGATAGACGCGGATGCGGCGTGTTGGAAAAAGGACCTCGGAGAGGTTCCGGCCGGTCCTGACTCCATCACGTGGCAAGAGTCTGGACTCCGTGTGGTGCACGCCAGTGCTGCTCACCGGCAGCGGGAGCACATCCCGCTCTCTTGCCCTGTGTGCCTCCGGTTCCGTTACGTTTGCCTTGTCGCCTGCGACGTTACTTTTGCAGACTCCTTTTTGGGTAAATGTTAGGAATGATGTCCCTGTTTCTTCCGCAGCCCCCTGCATGACACCGATGGGCAAAAGAAGGAAGCAGAAAGCTCAGAGTCCCACCCACGCCGCCGGCCTTAGCGCAGTTTCGGCCGT